GCCCACGTCTATACTAGAGTGCACTCAAAGACCTGATTGATTAAAATGGTACAAGACCATAAAACGTGGAGCTAAGAATCATTAAGAAGAAGAATGTGTTTGGTCCAATACAAAGGACACCATTCAATGTAAAGCCAGTAGGACAAATGAGTCTTTGTGATTGTGTGAAATAAACATAGTGAAAGCGTAATATATCAAACACGGCTTGTCGCACAAGGATTCACACAAAGACCAGAAATAGAGGAGATATACTCCCCTGTGGTGGATGCTAAGACATTTAAATCTTTGCTAAGTCTGGCTATATAAAAGAGAAATACTTGATTTGCGGCTAATGGATGTAATGCCTGCATATTTATATAAGTCCACTGGATAATATATGAGATTACCAGAGGGTATTGAGCTCAAAGATAAGAAAGATTCTCGAGAACAGCACTGCATAAGGCTGGACAAATCCTTATATGGACTGAAACAAAGCGGACGTATGTGGTATAACCGGTTAAGCTAATATCTCATCAGAGACTATAAAAACGATCCGATCAATCCATGTATTTTTATCAAGAAGTTTGCAAACAAAGGATTTGTAATCATAGCAGTGTATATGAATGATTTAAACCTCTGGGTAATCGCCCAAACAGTTGAGTATATCTAAAGAAAGAATCTCAAATGAAAGACCTAGGCAATAATTAAGTTCTGTTTGGGATTACAACCTGAGTACGTGAATAATGGAATCCTTGTGCATCAAATGGCATACACTGAAAGAGTACTCAAGGAGATTTAATAAGGACCAGGCCCGCCCATTGACCAGGCCCAATGGTGGTGAGAAGCCTCAGATTGGATAGTGATCCATTCAGTCCGGAAATGCCATACCTCAGTGCCATAGGAGTTCTAATGAATTTGGCTAGACACACTAGACCAAACATTTATTTTGCCGTGAGTCTCCTGTCTAAATTTAGTTCATGATCAACCCAAAGGCACTGGAAAGGTTTAAAGGAAGGTTTGATTAAGTTTTAAAGTCTATTCTTCATGCGTTGTTTACTTGGGTTTATTCTATATTGATCTAACCAAAGAAGGTCCAGTTTGCTTTGGTTTAGTTTGATTTACTAATGCAGGATATTCATAAGATCAGATTATGGCATGGTCAATGAATAGGAACTACGTGTGGCTTGATCCCTTCCAAGGGTACGTAGGCAGCCTTCCTTAAGGCGCAACTACTACTACATCAAAGACCATCATATTTGAAGACAACGTAGCCTGTATTGCTCAACTCAAGGACGGCTACACTAAGAGAGACCGGACGAAGCACATTTTTGCCAAAGCTCTTCTTCACTCATGAATTACAGAAGGACAGTCAGGTCAAAGTTCAATAGATCCGGTCAAGTGAGAATTCAGTCAACCTATTCACCAAATCATTGCCGACTTCAACGTTCCGAAAGCTCATTCATCAGATCAGGATGCGCGGACTTAAGGATCTACAGTGATGCTCAAATCAGGGGGAGTAATGCGTGTTGTACTCTTTTTCCTTCACCATGGTTTTGTCCCACTGGGTTTTCCTGGTAAGGTTTTAATGAGGCAACATCCCCAAGCGCATTATAGAGATCTCGGTTTAGTATCGGGCACGGTTATGTCTTCCAAGGGGGAGTGTTATAAACCATATGGATGGACTCCATAACCGGCCCATGGCCCATTAGGGTTTTACCTTATTCTCTGTATCCTGCTATTATCCTTGTATATATATCCCTTATTCTATTAATGAAAGACACAGTTCACAACAAATATGTTTTCTTTTATAAATAGTAATATACACATATCACTAACCATCATATTCCAAATTTCATAATATTGATAAATTTTATAACAATTTCTTTTATAATCCGACTAATGGTGTTTCAATATTACATTTTTGTCAATTTTGTAAGAGGGTGTGAAGAGGAGATGACTTTTAATCAAATATTGTATTGATTAAAAGAAGTAATATACTCTTAATCATTTTTTAAAAAACATAAATATCATTGTATATAGATGAATACAATTCAAATTTTAAAGAAAAAATCAAATTTGAATTTACTGTCATTCATTTATTTTTCTTTAAATTTTTAAATTCAAGTAAAAAAAACTAAATAAAATAAATAGCAAACATATAACGTAGTATGCAACAAGCCGCGAGTATCGCGGCTAAATAACCTAGTACTTAATTAAAAGGAAAGAAAAAATAAAATAAAACTGCAACACAATTTTTAAAAGGTAGTTTTCACTACCTTATTTATTTTTATTTTTCTTATTTAAAAAAGGGAGTAGAAACAATAGACAACACAGTAAACAACAGTCATTTTTTTTTTCATCCAATAGAAATATACAATATATATATATATATATTTATATTTTTGTATTTTTCATCCTATAGAAATATACTATATATATATATATATATATATATATTTCATCCTATAGAAATATACTACCAATCACCTTGTTGAAACTTAATACCCTGGTACAAACCTCCTTTGGACTACTGCTATCAGAGCAGAGATTCATCAAAACGAAAACAAAACCGTCATTTTTTTTGATTTTTTTCATTCTATAGAAATATACTATATATAAAAAATATATATATATATATTTCATCCTATAGAAATATACTACCAATCACCTTGTTGAAACTTAATACCCTGGTACAGACCTCCTTTGGACTATCAGCTATCAGAGCAGAGATTCATCACAACGAAAACAAAACGAAGCTATGTGAACAAATTTTTTAATGAAAAACAAAATGCTTCTTCGAATCTCAGAGAAAGAAGTATCTCTTCCGCTTTTAATGAAGAACAAATTTTTTTTAGGACAAATGGTCTTCGGTGTTGTGACTAACAATATTATCAATGGGCTAGGCCAAAATTTAGGTTAGTAACAAAGCATAAAAAACCACTATAAACACACATATCATTCGAGTTTATATTTTTGGAGATACTGAAAACTACATAATCAACTTGCCACTTTTGATGAGAATAGGTACACAAAGAGTACAAAAATCAGAGAAGTATTGTAAAATCGAATGAGAAAGTCAAGTAAATTTGTTGAATATCATATGCACAAATATCCAAATCAAATGAAAAATTCTTGTAAGTAATTATTCAAAAATGCAATGCAGATTCCCTGATATCAAAACTTCATTTATTTTATATAAAATTAACATCATGAGGGTCTACCGTATGAATTGTAAAATTGTACTTATCGTAGGAATTTGGTTGAGTCAAACAACTTTTCTTTTCCCTTGAGAAACAACCTTATATTCCTTAATCTAAAAATTCCACAGATTACTTACTATATGTTAAGCAATATATTCAAAAAATTCTACCAAGATAGTTGAGTCTAACATTGACAGCTTTTTCCGTCTTTTAGAAACAACTTTCTGATGCAAATGACAAAATGAGATGTGATTACAATTAAAAACGTTAAAGAGATATGACAAGAACATTCACCAAAATATCTTATATACAAATACAATATTACAAGATATAATCACCAACTAAAAAATAATCAAATGACCGATAGTGATGCAAAAACAAATGACAAAATTAAATCAGATGTGAAATCAATTTTAACACCATTTTGTCGTATGAATCAAATTTTGTTTGGATTATAAAGCTTTTGATTTTAATTCTGAACCAAGTGAAAGCGGCGTAAAATCATCGACACATACTGAAGTAAAAAAGAAGAACTACAGATGCATATAAAATACTTTTGCCTATACCCATATAACGTTTTTACCATGTATGTTGTTAAATAAGCTTATGAAAGTATTTCTTACCCAAAGAAAAAAAAAGGAACTTATAAACACAACTTATCTACTCTAAAATACTCCAGAGCATAATTTATAATTTATTAATACTTAACTCGTTGGTCTATATTTCTGATATACTGATTTGTGATCGCCAACATCATTCTCTTATATACGGTATAACAAAAAAATATGTTTCACGATATTGCTAAAGAGTAAAAAAAATGTTCAACAGCTTATGGAATGCATTGTGCTAGCTTAATCAAAACATGTCTTTTAACAGTAAAGTAAGATTCAATTTTATAGTAATATATAAAACAGTTTTGGGAGATCAATAACCAATCCCACAGTAGGAATTTTGTTAATGTCCTCTTCAAAAAAGTTTTACTTTCGAATATGATAAGAAAAAAACATATTAATGAACATTACACATCCTAAACTGTCAACCACATTTTAGTAAATGACCTCATAATATAGAAAATGAGAAAGATTTACCTTACAATATACTCTCTCCGTTTCAAAATATAAGGCATTTTACCTAAAAGCACGCCGATTAAGAAGATCTACTTTTTAAAAGTTCAGTCAATCATAAAAGAGACTACATAATAAAAATAATTATAATATATTAAAGTAATATATAATTTGCATAGAAACTTGAAAACGACTTATATTGTGAAACAAAAAAATTTCTCCAAAACGCCTTATATTTTGAAACGGAGGGAGTATTTTTTTCTTCATGCAAAATACCAGTTACTTTAGAAAAATGATTATATCTTTAAGCTACTATTTCCAAAAAAAAAAATTGAATAGTACAATCTGTAATGGCCTAATGGGTCTAATAAGCTAGGCCGATGATATTGTGGCAGTATTTCGATGACAATGAAGTTAGATCCTTATATATGAACAAAGCTAAGTACGCATGTAGTTATTATATTTGGCTTAAAAACGTATTATATGTTCACTAACATTAATTTAACTGGTATAAATTATACATACCTTGAATTTTATCAAGGACTTGATATCCCAGAACAAATTATTTCTCACCATAACATTGTCAGAAAACTGTAAATTAGTATTTTAACTAAAAAAAATTAGTAACCTTTGTCTTCTTTTTACTACGAAAATCAAGGGTATCATCCAATTATATATATATATATATATATATATATATATATATATATACTGTTTATTACAACTTATAAATGTTGCAAGAAACACAAATAAAAATTAATAAGTATAATGTTTTTTCGTAAATACATAGAAAAAATGCAGCCATAAAATTTAGAACTTGGGAAATTGAACTCGAGAGTCGCATCGACCATGCGGCATAACAGGACAATTGATGAATTTGGAGGCCGAAGTGTCAACACATAAATAAATCTGATAGAGTTGGCTATTATGTGACGAATCTTTGTTACATTCAATGCCCGGAGCAAATCCAACTACTTCTTTGATCGTATTCTCAATATCTTTCATTTCATAAATTTTATCATCCGGTTTGATCCCTACATCATAAAAAACAAAATATAAGAAGAAATAACATCTACTTGCACATAACTAACAATGGAGATAAAATTGAAGGGCAAAAGAAGTGAATGGTGTACCGGCATTGGTAAAGGCATGAAGGAGATTAGCTTTCTGTTTGAGCTTGAGACCGGCTTCAAAGTAATCGAGTTGGTCAAGCTCGGACTCAGCGCATGTGCCGTGTTTCTCCCACTCATGTGTCCAAAACTTCATACCATCATTGCTCGGACACGACAACGTTGGCCATTCTCTTTGTAAATCGTTCATCAGATCAGACACCTTTATTTGTTTTCAATTGTCATTAGTTATTTACGATTATTTTCTTGTAGTTCTTTATATATATATATATATATATATATATATATATATATATATATATATATAAAAAGAAACATACAATTGTCCCAAAATGTGATTTTCTTAATTGATATCATTAGTAGAAAAGAAAATTATTGTGTTTAAAAGTTAAAAACAAACCCGTAAATCATCAAATTGACTGTCAGGATTACAATTTTGCGGCCATCCACCGGTTTTGTAATTAGGCCAAAGACCGTGAATTCCAAAATCCGCAGCTGGTTTACCGGTTTTTGGGTAGCAACAACTATGTCTTGAATCACAATACGCTCCAGGCCACTACATTCAATACACATACACATAAACATAAACATAAATTTATAAGTAGAATGATAATTAGTGTAGACATATGTATTAACTATAATTACCTGTAAAACGAAGTAGAAGAAATCGAAATCCTCGGCGACACTTTGTACGTAGAGTTGCTGTAACGCTAGAAGACAAATAAAGAATTTCATTTCCTCAAGATATTAAAAGTGCAGAAATCAAATAATTTGTGGGAATCAAATTTGTCGAAAACCAATGAATTAATGATAGAAGAATAGTTTAGAATTTGTTTATATAAGTCATATAACGTGACGTGTGTTATTTTCTTTTGGGTAGAAGGACGTGACGTGTGATTGGTATATGAATGTTTAATTGTGTTAGGTTAGTATTTCGTGCAAGCATTTCATTTCCAGCTCCAATGCTTTAAAAAGTAGTAACGTATGGCAAAACTTTCATCATGGTTCAACTATAATTATATATTAAATAAACAATTTAAAGCTACTAGAGTGGCATTATCTATGATCCGTTGCATACCATATCCGTATCAGTTTTAGAACTAGCCGAATATTATGTGTTTGAGTATTTATAAAAATACTAGATCTGGACCCGCACGTTCGTGCGGGGTAAATTTTATGAAACTACAAATTTTAAAAGTTTTTAAATTAGAAAATAGCGAAAAATTATATGAAATGTGAAAATATTATAGTTTTGATTGATGTAAAGTAGTGTTACGGAAACAATTTTACTTGAGTATTTTATTAATAGTTTGGTGTAAATGGATAAAATGATGGTTAGTGAAAGATTGTGTGTAAGCGTTTTAAGAGAATTGTTTGTTAACCATGGGAAAACATATAATAATTTTTTAATTGTTGTAATAATAATTTTCTAACTTAATCTTTCAACTGATTATATTATTATATGGTCTCACACTTTTAATGTAATGATAGATAGGTTTTTTTTGATGTAGTGGGCAATATTTTATGGGCTACTAATAAAGCCTTATTAGCCTAATATATATATTTACTGATATTTTTACATTATTATATTTAAATAAAAATAAATCAAAACATGAGATGAAAGTTTGGATTGTCTAGGGCTCATGCATTGCATTCAAATCACAAAATATTTTTGAGATTATGATATATCTAAAATTCCTAATTTATTGGAGAAATATTCTATATTTCAAAATACAAAAATATTTAGTTTAGATTATATTTTGGGAAATATAATAACTGTTTTTAGAAACATTGGAACAATAAAATTCGCTTTTTATTTCTTCCATCTAAACAAATGAAATTAGTATGATATTATTATGGAAATTTTAAAATCAAAAATAAAATATGCTTTGTTATTTTTAACTTATATTAAATTGGACTGTCGTTTCCGGAAATATCTAACATTACATTGTCAAATTAAATAAGTCAACATATTTACAATTTCAAATTTTTTTCCTTTTATCTATACTAATCAGAATTTATTAGTATAATTTCTTTAAAAAGTATATTAAAATCTAAAATATATGATGATATTAAATTGATTTTTATTTTGTTTGATTCTAAAAATATATGATGATATTAAATCTAAAATAGAATAATTTGTTTGATTCGTAATATATTTTGAGATATTTTGGGAAATATAATAATTGTTATACCACGAAATTAAATAAGTTTACATATATAATTTTAAAATTAATAGTTGGATTTTTTATGGAAACTACTTTATAAGATTTCCATAAATATTGGATAATTATTAATTTATTGATTTTATAGAAACTACTTTAAAAATTTTCCCTAAATATTGGGTAGTTATTAATTTGTTAATTTAATTTCGGATTTTTTTAATATTAAAAAAACAAATATTAAATGGACACAAATACCATTTTCCAATTTTTTTTTTCCTTTTTCAAATTCAAAAATACCAATGGCATTTCATGTAATATTCTACAACATAAAAGGTTCTTTATTTTCTAGTGATTCCCAATTAATAGTATAGATGAATATTCGATTGGAAAAGAAAATTAAACTCTCATTAAAATAAATTATAGTATTCACTATTCACATAGAATTCACGTAAAGACAAAAAAAAAAAGACCCTTGTTTCTTAAACTTTTAATATTTAAATCATTTATAGACCATAAGGCATAACGCAAACCATTGTCCCATCTCTGAATACGTCAAGGTTCTTGATGCGGCACATGTTGGCTACTTGGTTCTACAGGTACAGGCTCCGGTGTGTAGTGTGTACCGTATTCAATCAAGTTCTGCATTTTTTTTTCCTTTATATTGAACATGGTTTCAAATTAATCCTTTGTTATTAAATATCAGATGCCCAATTTAAATAAGTTAGCTTTGCTATCCCATTGAGACAATTATAGTTGAAAGCTCGACAATTATAGTTGAAAGCTCGATTACGTGAGATTGATTAATGATTTTGCAAGCAAAGTCTAAATAGAGCTATATTTAAATAATATAATTTTATTTTTTGGTTTAACAAACTACTTATGAAATTAAATAATGTTATAAACAGTTTTAGTATGACTTATTAAATATTATTGTTTTTTATTTGTCATAAAAATTTGAGTTTCCATATAAAAATAGGTGAACTATACACAAGAAAATATATCAAAAAAAAATTGATATGTATGAGATTTTTTTAATCCTAACATATTTAAGTTAGAAGCTAGACAAATTTAAAATTTGGTCTCAAAAATTTGATGGATTGACTACCATATGTTGCATCCTGAAAAATTACTGTCGAGTTCTTAAGAAAAACATCACAATTTTTATTAGTTAATTGACACGTGTGCCAATCTTTTTGATTAAAAATAAACATGTCGGATTCTAATTATAACCTACTAAACTTGCATATTATCGAAAGTTCTAATAAACAAGATTGTGGCAGTTGTAAATTTATCGATTATGTTTTTACGTGCCATGAATTTAAATTTTTTGTTGTTACACTATTTGATAAAATAAATGGAATTTGTTTTGACTAAACGGATTATATTACTAATTAATCTTTTTAAAGTTCTATGATTTCTTAAAAAATCAAAATAAAAAATTGATAATAATGTTTCTATCTATATATACATTTTTGGAACACTTTTAGTAAATAAATCCTGGAGTTGGGAAGTATTTACAAAGAATGTCATTGATATTTATTATTACTTTTACAAAATTTAAATAAAAGATATTAACTAAACAATATCTTACCTAATTTGTTTCTAAAATTCTCTACACAATCTTTCCATATATCTTCAAAAAAAATTTTTAGCAAATATTTAAATTAACATTTTGCATAGCAATAAAATACTAATTTATAATAATCAAAATATTCACGTAGAAAAATCATATACACATACAAGAAAAAGAACTATATATCATCATTTAAGCCGTTTCTTTATTTAAAAAAAAACACACACACACAAAAACTTGAAATCATATACTTTATATGATAAATTTAAAATATATATTAGTAGTATAAATTTAAAATCGTTCAAAGAACGGTATACCACGGGTGAGATCCTAAAATTATTAGATTTTATAACAATAATAATTTATTTTCTTGGATTTTATAGCTAACGAGATAATATAGACGGGTTTATATGGGATGACGGGTTTGGGTCGATATTAATAAATAACGGTATATCACAATCCTAAAATTAATAATCAAAATACAATTATACAATCTTAAACACAAAACAAAAGAAACAATATTAACAAAACAAATCCAACTCAAATTTAAAATTTTTAGTTATAAAAAAACCGACCCACGGTATACTGCAGAGTAAAATATTCAAAATTTAAAAATCCACCATACATCGTTACTTAAAAAAAATGTATGTTTTCGTATCTATACTCCAAAAATTGATAGATAGATATCTACATTTAAAAATACAAATTAATATGATATATCTTCAGTTAATCTTTTAAAAAATAACATTACATTTTTTTAAAAATATAGCTCCGCGGTACACCGCGGGTTAAATTCTAGTTCACTACCGACAAACGATACTTATTTTAATTGCAGCTAATAATAGAATTGGTTCTTATAAGTTTTAAAAAATAAAATAAATTGATTATTTGTATATGGGCCTTTAACTGGAGCATTAGTAAAGACCAAAAATGAGACAAAGGCCCATATAGTGGTAGTCTAGTTTAGGGTTTGGAGTGTCTCCCTTATATTCTTCGTTCCAAACGAAAACCCTAAAAGAGAAAAGGAGGCGAAAATGGTGCAGCGTCTTGTTTACCGGTCGCGACACAGCTACGCCACCAAATCGAACCAGCACCGTATCGTCAAGACTCCAGGTCCCTTTCTTCTTCTTCTTCCTTGATATCTATTTTCAATCTCCTCTGCTTTAGTCTCATAATTGTCTAATCACCGATCTGTTCTTCATAGTGAAATGTGTGTGGTGATTGTTGATTTCAGGAGGTAAATTGGTGTATCAAACCACAAAGAAGAGAGCTAGTGGCCCCAAATGTCCTGTTACTGGCAAGCGTATTCAAGGAGTAAGTCTTCTGATTTCGATTTGGCTTCTTGTGATTCTGGTATTTAGAGTCTTGATTTGTGGTTTAGATAGAGTTAAGAGTCTGATTTTGAGGAATTTCAGGGCTATGTATAACCAAATCAATCAGATTGAATGTTTTAGAACGTTTTGAGTATTGATCAGTCTCTAGATTAGTCTCATTTTTAATGGGCATGACTTCTTATTTCAAGAAACCATGTTACTTAGTTAATAGTATTGTGCTTATTGACGGTCTTGTGCTGATTAGATAAAACCCACATCAGTACATAACATAAATCATAAGCTAAATTGTCGGTGCCACTTTGTCTTTCAAGTTGTTCCTTGTATTACATAAGGATTTTCTATCCACCTGTGGCATAAATTTTCAGTTTTTCCCAACTATTTATGTTTGATTATGCCATGGCGTATTCCTTTTGCATTATGTGAATAACCTTGCTTGTTTGTTCAGATCCCTCACTTGAGGCCCTCTGAATACAAGAGGTCAAGATTATCAAGAAACAGGAGGACTGTAAACCGAGCTTATGGTGGAGTTTTGTCTGGCTCTGCAGTCAGGGAAAGGTGTGTGTCCAACTTACTTGAATATCTCACTATTACATAACTTTGGACTTGTTTAACTCAATGGTATATTTTGGATTCGGACAGGATTATTCGGGCATTCCTTGTTGAAGAGCAAAAGATTGTGAAGAAAGTGTTGAAACTCCAAAAGGCCAAGGAGAAAGTAGCCCCCAAGGCTTAAGCTTTTATGTTTTCTTCTCTGTTTTGGGATTATGGCTATGTTCAAGTGATAGGACTTGGTGCAGTCATGTGAGAACATCTATGTTACTCATCCAATTTTTTAAGCTTTGTGTTGTGTTTTTGGTTCTTAACTTTGTCGACAATTCTCTTCTCTTCAGTTTTGGTTTCTGCTTTCATTACTGAATTCACCTTTAACTGTTGAACCAGATCTCGTAAGCTGTTGTGGTTACCTTGGTTAATATATAATTTCAAACTTTTTGACGCAAAACCAAGCTTGCAATTAAATTTACTCAAACTTAATCATATCTATGTTTCAATTTTTAGGAATGCTTCAATAACAGTCTTGTATAATGTCAGCACTAAAGGTTTTGTCTGGGGCTTGTAAAACTGGATTCAGTTTTTCTTTTTGTTCTGTTTGAATTAGCTTTATATGTATTCTTCACTCAAGCAAAGCCTACACTTGGAGGAAATTGGCTTCTGAAAAATAAAAACTGAAGGAAGCATAATTTATAACGATTTAATTTCGTTGCATTAGTGAAAGAGAAAGCCTACAAAGAGGAAACACCCTAGCTTGAAAAAGGCAAGCCTAGAAGGCAGAGATTAAAAATCTTTCCACATCCATCAAGTTGTGGAGAAACAAGCTGGCAAATCGCTATTGATGGACGATACAGAAGAATAATAACTCTCCAGCAACGTCATGTTCTGTTTCAGGTCTTGATGATGACGATGATTCTCATCCATTGTTGAGGCGAAATCATCAAACCGAAGTGTGTCGCAATGACCTTGATGATCTTCATTGGAACCACGCAAGTTCTTCACTACACCATTTCCTTCGAATCCTGTCTCTTGGTACTCCTGTGGTAGGCTTACTAGCGGAGGACATTGCTCTTGGGCCAACATTGCGCCAAGGTCGATATGGCTTGTGTATTCTCCCAAGAAGGTCGAATCTGATGACGTGTTTAGTAGAAACGATGGGATTTCATTTGACGAGGGGGGGGTGGGAAACTGAGGTTGTGTTTCTTGTGTGGCAAGAAAGAGATTTGTGAGGTATTGTTGGTCTAAACATGAAACCGGATTGAAAACGTTGGTGGGTTTGCCATATGAAGTTAAATCCAAGTAAGAGAAGGGACTTATAGTGGCAACGGATGGAGTTGTACTATTACTAGTTTTGGGAGTGTTCATATTCTCATGGTGAAACTGGAAGTGAGAGCTAGTTTTGAGGATCTTGTCTGAAGAAAAATGGTATGAGTTTGATGGCTTTTGGTCGGAGATTGTGTCGGTGCTTGTTTCTGGTGGTAACGAGGAAACAAAGGAGTGGGAGAGAGCTCTTAGGGTCGTTGTGTTGGTCCTTTTGAAGATTCTGCATATAGCCCATGAATCCTGCAATGATCCATCTCATTCAAAATGTTAATAACAAATGAGTTGTGTAATCTATAGCAACATAGAAGCCCAATAATTTCAAATATATATATATATATATATATATGCAGTTTTCTTTATTTAATTATTTTATGTTTCGAGTTTTGAGTTTTGTAAAATGTTAATTTGAAGAAGCATACTTACTGTTATATATTTTTTTAAAAAAGATTAATAGTACACAGAAAAAAAAAACCACACACACCCACACAAACTAATTTAGTTTTAAGCTTAAATCAAATGGACAGGAAAGATGGGAGTATTTATTTGTCAAATGTGTCTTGTACCAAAAACTTAAAAGACGTTATTTTGTTTTCTCAAACTTATAGATAGATATAACAAACAAATAAATAAATATTTTATATATACACTCGTTCAAGTTTCAACTCACTCGTTTATATATTTACTCATAAAAAAAGTTCTTTTCAAAAACTTCTAACCAAATCTTGCGATCTTAGTAACAAATAATAGCCTAAGTTGTCGTCCGGATAACTTTTAATCCTATTTTAATCAAACTATCTTATGCTTTGCACTACCAACAACATATTCCATAAAAGGTTTCATCAAATCATCAAAAATAACAAAATAACAAGGTTTCATCTATTTGGTTCAAACACCAAAATCAAATGAGTCAAATGCGAAAGTGCTAGTCATTTCCATTTGGCCAGGGGCTTTCACCTGGTCTTCCCCGGACCCTGGGGGATTAAGGGCTTCGGCCCCGAACCTCCTGGTTATCAAAAAAAAAAAAAAAAAAAAAAAAAAAAAAAAAAAAATGCAACAATTATGGTTTTGTTCGACTTATAACTAGATATATATATATATATATATAGAATGTAGTTTGATGGTCCAGCTTCACCTGGTTTTAATTTTGAACATAATTTAATCAAGATTTATTTATTTAATTCTCAAACCCATATATAAGACCATAATATATGCACAATCCTATTTTTGTTCTTCTTACCAAAAAAAAAAAATCCTATTTTTGTTCTGAATAAATTATACCTAGAAAAACTTTACTGAGTTAATGTGAGCTTACGTTGGGAGAGACAGGAGAGTCAAAGAATCTCTTAGAAGGAGGTGATGGTTCGGAGAGAGAAGGCAAACGAAACTCATGCATCATCCAATCAGTCTTAACTCCTTTCGCAGCTCTTCCTCTATAGAACACTAAGGACTTCTTTAAACCTATGCATTTGTTTCCCTCCGACGAGTATATCGGCCGGTCCGTTCCCGTGGCTTTCCAAAAACCAGCTCCGGTCACTCGGTTTGGCCTCGAGCTGTTCCTATACTTCCTGTCCCTTGGACAATAAAAGTACCATTCTTTTTCACCCGTCATCGCAAACTCTACAATATTTTAACAACAACAAAAAAACTTGTTTAGACTTTATTTTCTTATATCAAACCTTATAATATGATAAACAAAAGTATGAAAATCATATATACTTGGAAGATCCCAGGGGTCGTATTTGTAGATATCGAGCTGTCTTATGAGCACAATAGAGAGAAGATTGTGTTGAACCTTCCGCTTCAAGTAGAAGCTTACGAGTTCTTCGTCGGTTGGATAAAACCTAAATCCGGGCAACAATACATCCTCCATTTTCTGATCACCGTCGTCGTTTCTCTCTCCCATTTTCTCTAAAACCCTAAAAAAACAAAAGAGTTGGAAGTGAGGAACCCTAAGTGGAACAAGAGTGAGTTTGGTAGAAAGTGGAAGTGAAGTAAGTGAAGTGGTTTAGCTTAAGTTGAAATCAATATATGCTTCCTTGCCAGGGGTCTGAACCCGAAGGATCAGCCGCCATTTCAGCTGAGGATTTTAAATTTCATTTTCTTTTTGAATTAATTTCCCAATAAATTTTGTTTGAAGCTTTCTTTGGTTTTACTTATAATACAATATTTAAAAATGGAGCTGAAGGAAAAGTTTATAAACACGAGGACAAGGTCAAGAAAAAATATAATCAAAAACGTACTATATACTAGATATATTATATATACTCATATATTATCATCATGAAGAAATAAATATGTACATATCGATCCATTTTGGTTTTAACGTATATATATGTCGATACTTTAGTATATATATATCGATACTTACTATATAATGAAGCGTTGCCATTACTTCTAGAATCAGCGCATAAGATACTAAAATGCACTATCATCATATCGTATACGCATATATACACACGTGCACATGTGTGTATCGTGCCATATGGTGAACAACGAACATAGACACACATTGACGTGCATGAAATCTACGTATTTTTGTGTGTGCTTGATGATCAATGTATGTATAGTCGTATATGGAGGAAGAGACGAAAAAATATTAAAGACCAATTAAGAACCGCTTTATAAATTTTGTCGCTTTAGTTTGAAGTTTTTAATTAATAAAGGAAACAAGGGCCGATCGAGGCCAGCTGCCACTACAAAAAGATTCGAAATTAAATTCACTAATCAATTGCCTTCAGGTTTCTAATTAGGATTAAACTACAAATTTAAAATGGATTCTCAGAATCCGAGTTTCTTCTATTCCATTCTTCTTCACAGTTTCTATTCCCACTGACCAATGTCAGAAAATAGAAGGCTTATGGGCTTTAATGGCCAATGGAGGGGCAATGACGATGGTGTAATTTACCATTTTACCAGTTAGATTGATCTGAGTCTGACTAAATGTCTGAAAAGATCTTGTTTACTTTGACCTTTTTGGTAACTTCAGTGTTTCGGATTTTCCAACGAACAATTCTCAAGTTTGACTCATATTAGTCCTTTGTGGTAAGACTTTAAGGAATTAGTTGATGGAGTTCGACCACAGGAGTACGTTCAAATTATTATTTAAGTCCATCTATTCTTTTTAAAACCTAGGTACAGAAAGTAATAACTATTTCGAATTCTCTAACTTCACAAGTTCAAAATTAGCTGCAATATAATATACAAAGATACAAGTACATAACATGATATCTCTATGTTCGTGGGACCAAATTACTTGAAATTAGCATTGAGGTTAAGTTTTAATTGAATCTAAGCTTCAACTATGTGCCCTCCCGTAATATATAGATAATATACCAATAGCTTCTACAAATATGATTACATATCCATGATCATAATATTTATAGAAACAACACATATTAAAAGTACTAGATTTTTCATGATCAGCATAATTAATCATGTAGCCTACCTTTTACAAACAAATATTCAACAATAATATTAGAATCGATGCGTGATTTTGGTGCCTACCTTTTACAAACAAATTAATGAAAACTCCCTGTTTGCGTAGTATAAGTGTTACTCTGAATCAGAAAACCAAGACCGTACCCATGAACTATTCTTAGCAGCTATACACATTGCCTTGATCACTCCTCTATCCTACATGTTTATTTTGAAGACTTAAATGTATGAATCACAGAGAAAAATAACTAGGCATCTCCACAAACAATCTTATGCTTTAATTTGTACTACTAACAACATATTAATCCATAAAAGGTTTCATCAAATTATCAAAAATTACAAAATAACAAGGTTTCATCTATTTGGTTCAAACACCAAAATCAAATGAGTCAAATGCAACAGTTATGGTTTTGTTCGACTTATAACTAGATATATATAAAATATTTTTTGTATTCGTTCATAAAATAATTTTTTTAATTAAGCTTTCGTACCATTTAGAAAGGGACAACATAGCTTAGCAAAGAGCTAACGAGAGCAAGAAGTGTGGGTTTAGTTAGAGCATGCTCATTGGTTAAGAACTTAAGATACTGCCATGAGTATCAATTTTAATAAAATTTAGTTATTAATGTAAAATTGAATTTGTTAAAATACGCTTCTCTAATTCTTTCTCTCACTTTTTTATTATTTTTTCATTATTTTATTAGGGTGTATCTAGTTTAGCTACCTTGATAAAAATGCTTTTATCTAGTTTAGATGATTTAGAGGTCCAATATGATTGTGGTATTTGAAAGAGGTTAAAAAGTAGATAAAGAATTTTCCAAAGCAGGGAAGGATTGTTTCCAACCAGAGATTTATAGGGAGAGATGAATGAAATATATACGTTGTTTCAACTTAAGGTTGTAACGTTGATGAATCTCGCTGACTCGTGACAGGATTCGACTCGGTCGGAAAAGTCTACTTCAAACGTTTGAAATAGAATTTTCGTACCAACAGAGTTAATGCTTTATCAGCTCTTTGTGGCTTACATAATGGTCTATCTACTAAAATTGCAATAAGAAAGCGAGTCATTTATCTTAATTATATTACTATCATCTACATATGCACATATATAACTAAGATCTACTTCTTACTAATGTTGGCATTAAGATGTAACTTGTAAGTAAGTAACTAATTCTCTGAGTCCACTGGCATAGTCAAACCGAACAATCACTTTTTTGGTAAGTAAAAATCACTTTAGTAAAATATAGTTGCTACCTGACTAGAGCTTAATTCGTTTAGGGGTCAAAATTTGTGTGGTTAAATTAACTACACGCGACACATGTATAGGAAAATCAATATTTATATGTGTGCTACCTCGATATCAATTCCTCTTCAAGGAACGATAAACAAATCCCAATATATAGTTCGAAGTAAAAAATTAAATTCAAAAAAGGCTTAGGAGTAATCTGAGTTCTGAAGTACAGCAGTAGGTGAAAAAAGGTTACTATAATATTATCGAGTTCGTGGTTAACTAAATCAGTAATATTCTAAAAATATGAACATTGAGAAGAGGGATGCGTGTAGCATTTATAAGGCAAAAGTCAAATTTACTCGACTTTCTTGTCATTTTTTGTGGGGTTTTTAAATACCGAATACCAAAGTATAGAATTTCACAACGTTTTCTTGCTTTTAGTAAAATCTAGTTGAAGTTTTAAATTTCTATCCAAAAATCTTTTCTTTAATCATTTTTGTGTTATGTACAAGTACCGTCAATTTGTTCAACTAATGATTTACTACACCGTCAAATAGTAAATTTATCGGTTTCCGAAAGTCATGCTAATATATAAATATAACTAGATGCTAAGTGACAAGGCAAATAGAATTATTTGAAATTGATGTTAATTGCCTAAGTAGAATGACATCGACTTATAAATTTCAGTATCAAAAAATTCAACTAAAATCTTTTTTGGTTGTCTAAGTGAATGTATTAGTAAGAAAATAGATAAATCGACACAATAAAAATAAGGTTAACAGTATGAGAAAAATGACTTGAATTAACCTATTTAAGTCATTTCAAGTTAAGTACTTAATTCAAGTCATTTTAAAGGGTTCTAGTTCATTTGTACTGGATAATTTAATGTTGCATCGTTCCATAACCTTCTTTTTTAAAAAGACATCGTTCCATAACCTACATCGAAGTTATTCGTACATCCTCCTTAATTCAGCATCACATTCATTTCGGATCGTTTAACGTTCAAGTTTCAAAATAAACTTCCTAACATTTTAAATAGCGATAACATTATGTGAAATAGTGTTTAATTAACATGCAAGTTCGAACGTAAATTTCACCGTTGTGCGGTTTAAATAGCAAAAAAAAGTTTTAATATGTGAAATACAATGACAATATTTTCAATAATTCATTATTAATTAATGGACTCTTATATAATGTAGTCTAATTTTAAAATATGGAGCGACACACTCTCGAAATTTGAATAATAAACAATCGTATGCTAGAATTAGTAAATTTAGTTTCAATGATATACTAATTCCATAAACTTTTTCATTTGGCATCCACAAAGCAAACTGACGGGAAAAAAATATGTGGAAAACTGGAAAAATAGAATGTAGTTTGATGGTCCAGCTTCACCTGAGTTTAATTTTTGGTACCGACTTCAAAACCAGATCGCACTATAGGCAAAAGTCTAGAGGCATAGCTAGGGGATACGTCAAACCCAATGAAATTCCAAAAGGCCAAGTTTCCTCGTTTATACCCATTTTGTCTCTCTTCTAGTTTTGACTCTTTTTGGTTTTTACTTCCCAAGCGTGTGCACTTGATATTTGAGCTCTATTTCTTTTCTTTTTTTCTAGTATATGACTATGTATAAGAAAATGCATGGTTGATTTATTTATTCACAGTACATAACAAATGTGAAAATATTACTATTAGTCAAAACTTCAAAGTCTTCAAGCCCAAGCATCCATACCTCTGTCTCCGTGAACATTATTAACCATCCTCACCACAGTTAATCATGTCCCTCACCTTCGAATTTTTTATCTTTGACCAAACTTATTTTCCTTGTCATATTGTTTTAATCATATTTGTCTAAATTACTGTTTCACAACTTAGTTTTCAGATAATGATCATAGACATAGAAAATACAAAATGTGCGGTAAACAAATATTAATGACCTAATCGTTTTTTTTTTACTAACCGGTACATATATATATATATATAGCCAAAGTAATATCCAAAGTAAAACATCTTTAACCAAAGTAGTGTTTAAGATGACTAATCCTCAATGTCCAAAGTAAGTTCAGTGTCTAAGTGTTTATAATCCATTAAGTAATATCATCATTCATCATATATCAAGTCGTAATTGTACTAGATTATACACTTGAACATTATTGAATAGATGACTTCTAACTTCGATTTAGACTAAATTCTAAAAGGATTGAGTTAAAAGAAACGTATAAATGAATATTCCATCTAATCCATTTTTTATGCATTCCCTTATCAAGAAAACTTATGTATAATTGTTTGGATGTGTACAATTTTTTACGGTAGAGTCATGCATACCGTACGTGTTTAATTTCTTGGACCTAGAAGGTGTATGAGTTCTCGAGACTGTATTGGGCCTTAACTTGCTTAACCAACAAAAGGGGCGATCAATAAATATTATAGCCGACATGACATCGTTTTCTATTTTTGGTAATTTCCCAAAGCTGCTTTTGTGCTTTCTTTTTTTTTTTTTTTTTTTTTTTTTTTTTTTGAACAAACTTTTGTGCTTTCTAAACGATAACTTCAGTCTTCAGTGTTATATAGACTTTTTTTTTTTTTTTTTGGTTTTACAGTGTTATATAGACTTACAGTCGTAAAAGAGTTACTACTTGGCCGGCAAAAGAAAAATGTTAGTACTTCTTTTATTTTGTTTTGCTAATAATTTGTTTATATAAGTCGACCAACTAATTATGGAATTTAGTTTTCGCTTAGCAATTTTTCAAGTGTTTCTGACTTTTGAACATCTAATACAAAGCTTTTCATTTTTTCTAGTGTGTATGTCATTATTGGTCATTATCACTAGCCATCCATTTATAAACACTAAACACGACGGATCTGATGAATATATCCTAACAAAAGCCCTCCAAAGGTTAATAAATTCAAACCGAACCAATCTTATACCGGTACAAATCAATTTAATTACTGAACCAACTTTTTTTTGGTATATGACCTCGCATTGGCCTCGGTATCAATTAGACCGATTCCGTTTACACGGGTCAGCGAAAAGCTTCACGTCTCGGAGAAAAACTACGGTTCTATTCGACGGTTCTACATCAAAACCATGGAGGATTACTTTGTACCGGTTCCTCTCCAGGAAGCAATGATTATATTAAACCCACCCGAACAAGTTTTTCAGCTCAAAGGCTCCGATCACGCACCGTTCTTCTCTCGGCCTCAATCACTGAACCGAATCCGATCCTCATCGAGATATCTCAAATACCGTTCAAGAAATAATTGTGATATTTTTTTGTAAACCGGATACAAGTAAACCAAACCGGTTATAAGATTCTTGTTACCTTATAGAGATTGTTTTGAAAGTTGCTCTGAAGTCTGAACAGTGAGAAGAACAAAACCCAATTTGGGAACCATGTTCTTAATTTCTTATTATTTTGTCATTTATTTCCAATTAATTTTTGATATTTTTGTCTAATAACATTATTATCTATTTGGTAATCATATTTGATTACTGGATTCAAACAACAATAATTTGCCAAAAATTCAATGGACATTATGATAAATAGCGATTACGGTTTAGTACACTTATGTTGAAATATCACATTGTCGTCTTATATAGAGTATGAAATTGATTTGATTTTGCTTCATATATCGTCGTCCTCACTGGCATTTTGCTTTCGCGGCTAGGCTCGTCGTTGCTCCTTTTCCGATCACTAGATCTGACATTGGTTAAGTTTACAGGTGAAATTATATATATAAATCCTAGCATTTCTCTTATGGATCGATTCTTTGTGCTTGTTGTTGTTGTGTTTTCTGGAGTTGCAAATTGTTTGTCGTGGTATCTCGAAATTTGGTATCTTATTAGTGTTGTTCCTCTTCTATAATTGATGTTCTGGTTTTAGAGATCTTTGTGATGTGTTTCAGTTTTAGTGGCGTTGCTTATTCGTACGTAGTCTGTTGCTCTGAGGCTCATTGATGTTTTAGAGAATCGGTCTATGTTATAGGGTTTTACAGTGACTCTTTTAAGTTTAGTTGCAGATTGAGTGGTCATTTGGCGAGCCAACTATACGATCTAAAGAGGTGTCCAAGATCTTTTACCCAAGAGATTAAAAATTATCAGCTTTATTCAAAGGCCAAAATAGACAATAACACAAACAATTTGATATGTATATATATACTAGGAAAAGTGTAATAATATGTAACTAAATATATATTGAAACATTTTTTTGTTACTTTTAAAATACAATGTTTTGGTTTCGGGCCGGTGGGGATTACGGGTTTTGTCCAGAACCTCATGGTATTCAAAAAAATAAAAAAATACAATGATTATATTAAAAATTTATATTACCCAAATTCTTTGTTTATGGTAGAAGTTTTTTGTACCTTACAAAACCAAACACTTGTGATAAACTATTTGTTGTTTTATATCAAATAGAGAGTTTATTGATTAAAGTTAAATATGAAATTAAGGGTACTATTTTCTTGTTATAAATATTTTAAATTTCAATAATAGAAGGTAATTATCATCAAATGATTTATATCTTCAATGACGAGAAATTTGAGAAACTTTTTTTTTTTTTTTGATAAAAGTTTTGAGAATCCTTTAATGACCCGGTGGAGATAAAAATGGAGACTTCTGTTTTTGGGTAACCAATAATAAGTTGGGTTTTAGGTCGAAACTTTGGTGTTGGTTTTAATTACATTGAAGGTTGCAAAACCGTAAATGGATGTTTTATTCAATTAAAAGACCAAAGTTTTTTGGAAAATACAACGAAAGAAACAAACAAATCAATAATAAACACGTGGACCTAAACTGTATTTACATTTTATGCCGATTAAAAAAAAAAAAAAAAAAGGCTTTACCACAAAATTCGTTAATTAAAGAGGACCCTAATCCTCTTTGTCACGTAACTGGATTCGGACAAAAAAGAAAAGAAAAGGTCCATTAAGGAATTCAGGCCCAATTTGATAGTTTTAGTTGAAAAAAAACAATGCCGTTGTTAGGGAAAGGCGTTTTCTGATGACATCGGCGATGACGTCACGCAAATTTTGTGTTCCGTCGTAAGAATCTTGATTCGTTGTTGTCTCCACGGTGCCAGGATCTAAGGTCTCGAAGTTTCTCGAATTCATGGTTACATGGTGAAGACGGAGATTGACAAGGACGATTTCGCAGTGAGCAAGGTTCTTGCTTTCTCCTCAAGCATGTATCCAACATTCGATACGCCTCATCGATCTTCCAACACTAATCTCTATATGTAATATGTCCAATACTCTATTAGCGAGCATTTCGTGTTTTCAACCAACTGAGAAACCATGGACCGACTCTCGTTTATCACAACTCTTCTTCATGTTTATTGTGTTTGTGGAAGGATCAGTGATGCTCGGAACTTCTTATTAAACTATTTCCTATTGAAAGCTTTACATGGTCAATCTCTCAATCATTTTCTGGTTGTTTCCAGAGATAATAGTCACCAATGGCAAAGATGGGAGGCTTTTGTTATTTTGTTAACTAGGTGACGACCCCTAGGTTACAACATTTAAGCACAGCCCTGGTTACATGAACAAGCTGGGTTAACTAATTCATGTGAAAGTAAGCTATTAACCATCTCTTTATTCCCTGAATCTAAAAATCATGCGGCTTTATGCTTTGAAAAGCAGAGCACCTGTCAAATCCGTAACATTCATGTGGCCATATCAATTTTCAGTTGCTTTCAGATTTAACTAGATTATGTAGAGGCAAGATTCAATTATTCCTCATACAGAGAGTTGAAATACCAAAACCAAACACATGCAGTTTCATTGTCAACACAGTAAAAAACAAGAGGTTTTCTAATATCGTACTAGAGGTAGTGGGAGAAAGTAGTGAGAGATTACTTAGGGTGATGGGGGGGGGTTTGGTTTTAGCGGAGATCCAGGACTTCGTATTTGAGTTTGGCATTGAGGAAGACGTGTGAGCAATGCTCGTATATTGGGTTACCGTCTTCTGATTCTTCGTGTGGGTGGAAGCCTCGTTGCTGGCAGTTACGGATCACTGATACGCCTGATGGATCAGAGAGATGGAATATTCCGTGAGGTGTTGATTCGTCTGTTGGAGCCATTACGATTGCCACTGCCTCCGGTAGCATTATCTGGTGAGATAGAAGATATAGACAATATGTTAACATAGATGTAGATAATTTGGTCCGACTATCAATGCATCATAAGAAATATTGAAAGGGGAAGTTTTGTTACCTGATATGAGTAGTGTGTGTGAAGATCAACTGATGACATGAAGCAAGTTTGTGTAGGATGTGTCTGAAGCCAAAATGTAAATTAGCCAGAAGAATCAATAAAGCTTATTAACTAGTCGATATATGGACACACAATTGTTCTGAGAAACTTTTAGATCTTTTTTTGTGAGAGAACTTACATGAATCCAACCCAAGGGAAGTAGAGAGAGTCTGTCCTGTACTTCGAATATTTCTTCCTCGTTTAGTGTTTGGCACTGTACAAATGGGGATGAACTAAGAGTGAGAAGGATCCCAGAGGAGAATTAAAAAGATCGTTATTGATGTAAATTGTTAAGAAAAATGAAGAACATACAGAATCTGAGGTAGACTCCTGCTTTGGGATTATGAGAGTAGTGATATGAAAAACCCTGTTTTTCTGCAAAAAGTGCAAATAAACAGTATATAAGTGATCATATGATATTGGAATGAAATAATATAGATGCCAAGGTTCCATCTACTCACCAGAGAGCCAGCAAGTACTCCACAAGTTTCTAAATTCCTTTCTGTGTTTGACCGAGCTAGCCTTAGGAAATCATCCATTATGCGCACGGGCTTCAGCAGATTAAAATAAAGGGAGACGACATTAGTAGTAGATTAACATGACGTGAAAGAGAAAAATTTCCAGCACTGTAATGGGCATGAACATATAAAACATATTTTCAAACATAGCACTACTCCAATGTTTCATACAATAGTTTTGGCTAATTTAATATGTTGATTCTTGACCACATACATAATAATTACAATAATCATGGTTAATTTTCTACTTGAAATGCATATCCATTCTAATTTACTCTCACAAACACTATGGAATAGCTTGAACTTACCACATGTAAATGCTGATAAGAATTGCTACCCTCTTTTCCTTCTAGAGAAGGAATTGCGGGTCCTGGTCTAGGATCAGCAACTTTAGATGGGCAAATTTGGGCTAACTCTTGATGCACTTGGGCAAGCACGGGAGGAGGGGAAGGTTGCTTCATACCGACAAACTGAAACGGGTCTTCAGTTGCGTCACTAATAAACTGGGAATTTACTGCCTCAGAATGACGCTGCCATCGACCATCATCTAAGGAGAGCACAGAGTTCAGCGTTGAGACTTCTTGAGTATCACCATTATGTGATGCTGAGGAACCGCTTGGTCCAGCTTCAATTAAACTGAAGAAATCCATGACGGTAGTTAGAAATAGCCATGACTTCTATAACGAAAAAGCTTAATAGGAAACAGAAGATGAGTACTTACCCAGAATTGTCCGCAGAACCCCAATCCGTATTACTCGGATATTGAACCTGTCATTACATCCAAAATAAAGATTTACTCAGCTCCTTCAGATCTAAGATAATTAAAAATTAGACTGGACCAAGAAGAAAAAGAAAAGAGTGAGAAAATGTGGTAAAGTTAACAGTGATCAGCACTATACCTTTATCTCCGACTTGGGTGCAACCCATTGACTTTTAAGACCATTCGGACCTAGAAATGAATGCCTTGACAAGGTTGCTTGGTTTGGAGGCAGAAAATCAAAAGATCTGCAGGTTAAGGAGCAAAATTAAAGTCTCAATGATCATCTCGGATTAATATGGACTAGCACTTGAGTTTCATATTCTCATTTCTTATTTCGATATTGCAAAACTATAGAAGAATTCCACAAAGCAACCAAATAAACTTGATACTATAAACAGAAAAGCCAAGCAGCATTGGCAGTTTAGTCCATCAGAATGACAATTTTTCTGGTAATAAATGATCCAAACATCATATATTTATGGCGATCACAGAAACAGACAGATGTAAAGAAAGAAAACCAGTGACATATATCAGATTGCATACCCTATTTCTCAAGGTTTCCAAATGCTCAGAGAACTTATGGTGTTTGCTTCCTATTAAACAGAATTACCGACAATTATATTAAGGGAGAATACTCACAGCTTCTGGAATTGCTGATCAATCTGTGTACGATTTGAAGGTGACGTCAGATTATTGTTATGCGTCCAGGATGGTTGAGATGTCAGCAATGGCTGCATCCAGAGAAGACAAAAGGCATTGCTGGTAAGAAATCACATGGATTTTGAAGATGCAATGATTAAGTTAAAGAACAAGAAATCCTAGATTATTTTGTACTCAATGCAAATTCCAAGTCTTAGACCTTGTTAATATCAGGTCTGGAGTATGACGCTTTATGGAAACAGATTGTTATTATACACAGACAATAAATCTAGAACAGATACTTAACCCGATTACTAAATCCGAATCGCAAACAAATTAATAAAAACAAACCTGTGGAGGAGCAGCTGGAGCCTCAGGAGCAGCTGGAGCCTCAGGAACTGGCGCAGCTGGAGCCTCAGGAACTGGCGCAGCTGGAGCAACTTCAGGAGCAACTAGAGGAGCGACCTGCGAGATACAGAACAATACAAAACCAGATCAATACAAACATGCGAACCTAATACGAAGTTTATCTGACAATTAAGAAACCAATACGAACAAGAGTTTTTTTTTTCATCTCTCTCTTTCTCTCAGTATATCATACAAATGTTCACTTAGTTCAATTTCTATTGTGTGTGTTACACAATCCACTTATCATAAATGGAAAACAAATCACAGAGCATAAATGTGATGGACTACTCGCTGCTGGTTGGAGTTGATGATGAGAATCATAAGCTAGTGTGTAACAATACAAAACCAGATCAATACAAACATGGAAAACAAATCACAAATGTTCACTTAGTTCGATTTCTATTGTGTTACACAATCCACTTAATCATGAGCTAGTGTGTAGAACAATACAAAACCAGATCAATACAAACATGGAAAACAAATCACAAATGTTCACTTAGTTCAATTTCTATTGTGTTAGACAATCCACTTAATCATGAGCTAGTGTGTAGAACAATACAAAACCAGATCAATACAAACATGGAAAACAAATCACAAATGTTCACTTAGTTCAATTTCTATTGTGTTAGACAATCCACTTAATCATGAGCTAGTGTGTAGAACAATACAAAACCAGATCAATACAAACATGCGAACCTAATACATTGAGAAACCAATACGAACAAGATGTGGATCAATACAAACATGCGGGACCTAATACGAAGTTGATCTTACAAGTAAGAAACGAATACGAACAAGAAGTGGATCTACACAAAACCAGAGAACCTAATACGAATTTGATATGACAATTAAGAAACGAATACGAACAAGAAGTGGATCTACACAAAACCAGAGAACCTAATACGAAATTGAAAATTAAGAAACCAATACCTCAAACAATTGGATCAGAGACGTCGTTTTCCCCAGTTCTCTCAGAGAATCGAGTTCCTGAAGAATTGATTTCCTTGCTTCACTCTTCAAGAACATAAGAAGAGAACCAAAAAAAAATTCAGAAAAAAGCAGAAACAAATTCACTAATCCTACAAAAATCTTAGTGCGCACTGATAAAAATGAAAAACAAGCAGAAATTTCAATTACCATTGACATTTTCGCAGTGTGTGTTGTGTGATCGAGAGAGAATTTCAGTGGTCAGAGAGAATTTCAGTGGTCAGAGAGAATTTCAGTGGTCAGAGAGAATTTCAGTGCTCAGAGAGAATTTCAGAAGTTTTAAATTTCAAATTTCAAATGTTATGTTTGCGTGATGAAGAAGAAGTAAATAATGGATCTAGAAAAAAATTATTTGAGGAAAATAAAAATCTAATTGATGGATCAATACCTTACCATTCATAAATTTGGGCTTAAATAAGCCCAAGTAAATCTGATGGACTGTCAATCTCGACAAACCCATCAAGAAGTGAATCTGACTTCAAGGGTTCTCGATCGAGTTGTCGAGATTCTGAGCTGATACACCATTTTCTTCGATAATCTTCGTTTGTTGTCGAAAAGTAACGTTTTTTTTGTTCTGGGAAGAAGAAACAAAACTGATGAAGAATTGGAAGATGAAGCAGCAAGAACATCTTTAGAACACAAGAGAGAAAATAAAGAGAGCGGCGGCGAGAGAGAGAGAAAAAAGGTTCGTGTGAGAGAGAGATAGAGAAATGTGAACTAGGGTTACCATCGAATAGAGTATATATAGTGATTATTATTTAAATCCTGCCAAAAAAAAAATATATATATATATATATTAAATTTTATAATCTTTTTGACTTTTTCAAGAACGGGAAATTAAATAGCTGTCGTCCATAATTACCGCTCATTCTATTTATTTATAGACAATTCTATTGGCGGAAATTGTTTCTGCAGTTATTACTTATAATATTCTTTCATTTTTAATGTTAAAAGGCGTGAATTAAGGAGTTACTTTTTTCTTTTTACAGCTAATTTCGTTTACTCGTACAATCAGATCTTACATTATCTCTCTCACTTCCTCTAAAATAGCTAAAACTTGTTAGCACACGTAATTTTATCATTATTATCTTGCTCTTGTTTTGCTAAGTTGATTCGCGGGAACAATTTAAGCGTAATATGTACACACTACTAGATGTTAACCCGTGGTACACCGCGGGCCCATATTTTTATTAATAGAGAAATTAATTTTTTTTTTTAAGATGATCTATAGATATATGCTATTATTTGTTTGATTTAAATATATGTTACACCGCGAGACGATATTTTATATCTGAAAAATTTGAAATTTTAAGTTATATTTGTTTAGTTAATGTTATTTATTGTTTAAGATTGTATAATTAAATTTTGATTGTTAATTCTACGATTTCACCAGTAGTATATCTCGTATTAATATAGACCCAAACCGTCTCACCATATAACCCCGTCCCGTGAAAAACAAATACAACATCATCTTTTAAAGTCCAAATTATTTTTATCAAGTAGAAATATTTAGATTATTTTAATATTTTTTCAAAAATATTTTAGTTATTGGTTACTAAATTGTTAAATTGATTTGTTACATAAATTATATGTTTTGAGTTGTTCAAAATATAAGAAAAATAGAAATGACATTGGCATAAAGTCATATTATAATATTTTTTATTTTCGTTTAGTGGAAAGATCAATCGAATTTCAAATTTTTTTTTCTCAAAATCTAATAAAAAAACTATAGAGACACCATCATATACACTTTCACCAATTTCTCCTAATATTTTTCAGAGACTCCCTCAACCATTCTTTTTAATAAAAGTTCTTAGATTTAAATTGCAAAAAAAAAAAAAAAAAAAAAAAAAACAGAAAATGTTAATGGGCTGACTAAACATAAAAGCCCAATTGATCATATATATATATATATATATATACTACTCATTTTAACCTATGGTTAATAACCCACAATTCCACAAACGATCGTCTTAGTGTTAATGGGCTAACGAAACATAAAAGCCCAATAACCTTTTTACTCCAACATTACGACCAAGTCATTTCTTCCTCTTCCCTTGATTGCTCTTCGACTCTGTCTTCTTCCTCTTTTCAATCCAAACTCCTTCACCTCTCTTACTAATTTAGTTATTAATCGATGATTTGATTCCAACAGAAGCTCTGTTTTGGATGATGTAATCCGCAGATCTGAAGATAAATTCCTCTCAAATTGCATTGAGATTATTCTTCTTCTCCTTCTCGAGATTCACCAAACACGTATTGGCGCCGCCTCCAATTACACTGGAAATTGAAAGATAAGATTCTAATCCTTGGGTTGAATTAGATCTTTGTTTGCAGAAACTATCTTCTTTAGATTGTATTCAAGAATTCTACATACTATAACCACTTTCACTCTCTTAAGAAGCTCAAAACCTGTCATTCCTGGCATACAATAATCAGTGATGATAAGATTCACCTTCATTACCTGAAAAGGAAACCCTCCAATATGTTATAAAAGTCGTTGGATTTACACTATTGGTTCCTCTCTAAACAATTCAAAATCTGCAAATGTGCAGTGAGGATATAATAACTTGAAGATATAGAAACACGTTGAGCTTAATTACATTGGTCTGTTGTGGATCTCCCAAGCCTAAGTACTCCAATGCTCTAAGCCCATTTTCTGCTGTTGTCACTGCACAATAAGTAAAACAATTAATTCATTTCAGAGGCAATGTCACCCTATATAAGAATCTTGGTTCTTGAAATTTTAAAGGAAAAAGATTTGAATGATAGATTGATAGTTTACCTTTGCAAGAAGAGATCTTGAGGATTCTCTCAAGGATTTTACGGTCAATTAGATTATCATCTACTGCTAAAACATGAAGCTCCTCCTCCATTGAGGACAAACAAGAATCACTTCCACTTCCACAGCCGTTATTCATCTCCTACGATTACAGAGAGAGATATCGTTTTGTTACTTACGTGTGAAGCAACTGAGAACAAAAAAAACTGCACAAGAAGGAAGAGATGAGTCAGACACTAATACATTATACTGCTTTTATTTCTTAAACCTAAAGAAAACAGAGATAAACTTACAGATGAAGAAAAAAAAGAAAGAATTGACAAACTAAAAAGATTTGAGAATGAATGTATATATGAACAATATATTTATGTTTTAAATTTATATATGGATATATAGGATAACAATATATCAAGAAGTGATTTGATATGATTTTATCTTCCTTATAATTTAAGATACAACAAGTTGTGGTTTTGTTCTTGATATTGATTCTCTGGAAACTGGTAAGAAACTTGGTGTTTATGTCAGTGACAGTGCTTTGTGATCTTGTACGATGATAACGAAAATCCAAATATTAATTTTTATTTTCCATTTGTTTGGCTTTTCTAATCGTGCGAATAATGAAGATGCAAGTTTATAATCATTTTTTTATTTCAAAATGGATCACAAATCTGTATCAGAATCTCATTTACAAAGTCCCCACGATTCTCTGAAAAATTAAGATATATTATCATTTTAGTTTTTGAATTTTAAAAACTTGGGATTGTTCGGTGTATATTATTATTTGTCAATTTTTGTAATCGTGAAAACCTCAAATTAATACGAAATCTTTGACGGATATGTGACTTGCATTGTTGCATCACTTGCATGGGCCTTGTAGTTGTAAGTAGCTCCGAGTCGCATTTCTAAGTCCAATTTGTTTTCTTTTCTAACATATCATCCGGACTGTAGAACTTTGATAAGCCTTATTATCAGCTGAGCCCATTTATCGTTTCTCCTTAATGGGCCGATGATGGGAGAGTTGGACCCATCTTATCCGAAGTTATTTACCATGAAATAAAAATGGAAAATATAGTAATCAATAAATATAAGGAAATTGCAGAACAAGAGAGTAACTTTCGAGTAAAAATTGAATGTAGAAATAAATACTAACTATAAAACAAACAAAAGAGTAAATTCTTAATATAGATGGAAAGTGAAGAAGAGTAAATGTGAATTCTCTACGGTCGGGCTCACACTGCCCAAAAAATTCCTTCAAATCTCTTGAAACAATATAAATTTGACCCTATATTTTTAGAATAAATTAAAAAGCCCTCTTTGTTAAAATGCAAATAGAAACAAATAGTAAATTCCAAAATTTCCATGAAGGGTTGTTTTCCTTCCATGGGGAAAAGAGTTCTTTTTTTCATTTTATTTTAAATAAATAACTTTTACTGTCAAAAGGAATATAAAAATTTAAAACATAGGTATGGAGAGAGACCGGAGTCTGATAAAATGTCTTGACTCGGACCAAATCTCAAACGAGAAAGACAACAATTAAAAAATTCCAAGAGCATGCTTAACGGATTATATTATTTTTTTCATCACCATTGTTCTATTATCTGTTTTTTTAAGTGTTTTATTTTATGGCAATAAGTGTTTGACACTTAGTTATTCAACCGCATTTCAATCTGTAAAAAGTTCACATAATGGACGATTCCTTGCACAAACAGAAGATCCCAAATTTACATCTGTAGCTCCTCCAAGTCAACCAAAATCCTTAGGCTTGTGATGTAATTTCAAAACCCCATAATTTTTAAAGAAAACCCACAATTAATAAGTTTGATACAGAGACAAGGACATTGTACATAAATAAATGAATAGTAATATTATGGTTGCAATTATTAATGAACAAGTGATTTCTAAGCACCACAAAATATTTTTTCCAGGTCACCATCCTCATTCCTCACCAACTTACTTTAATGTTTTTTTTGTTGTCAATTACTTTAATGTTTTTTCTTCAAAAACAAAATAGAGAATATAAATGGAAATGGAAAATTAAAAGATAAAAATGAAAACCAAATCTATGGTGACCACTTTAACCACTGTCTCTTTCTGCATAATTTACCCAAAAATACCAATTCTCTCCTCTGCAGCATGAGAATAACAGAGCCAACCACATTCCAAATTGTTTCCATTTTATGTGAAAGATTATTTTCTAATTAATTGAATCAAACAAGAGGCCACAGAGCATATAAACCCATTAACGAAAGTTTCCATTATTTGGGAAGGACAATTTAGTAAATTTCAAAATTTATGATTCCTTTATTTATGAGTTGGCCAATCATTTATTCATTTTCCCACTTTCTGTAACAACACAAAAATAAACTAAAAAGCCACGTGTCTGCCAAGTCGGATTCGTCAAAACCAGCTAAATTAATACACGTGTCAACTTCGAGATTAATGAGTCCACCCACCTTCCTCGGGCCCCACACTCTCTTCTTTCCAGCCCGTTGATAAAGGCAGCTTTTAATTACTCTCTCTTCTCTTTCTCTTTTTCTTTATTGGCTTTTTCTCTCTTCTTCCCAAATTCACTGTTCTTTAAAAGCTTCAAAACCTAACAAGAAGAAGAAGCTCGTGCTCTCTCACTTTCTTTTCCTCCGGTTACTTTTTTACCCCCGAGCTGCAACATTCTTCGTCGGAAAGCTTCCCGGAGGTAATTCTTAACCAGGTGAGAATTCCTCATTTCCCAGATCGTAACTTTCCATTGGCAGTTTACTTAAAAAAAGCTTCTTTATTTATTTATTTTGCTCTACATTTACTTCAACCATTCACCTGAAAGCTGAATATTTCTTGAATTTCTATGAATTTAAAGTAAATGAGAGCTACTTCTATTCATATAACTAGCCTTTGTTTACCGGATTTTTCTTCTTGTTTTGTTGTTTGTTTCCTCCGTTGGTCGAAATGTAGCCGTTGTGCTAGATTTTTGTTCTTTTCGTCTACTCAATCTAACTCCTGAGAATGCGAACAAAAAAAGTTTTAATTTTTAAGCTGTACTTTTTTTTTTTGTGTTCACCAATCTTCTTCTTTCTAATTTCAGCTCTACATACTCAAAAATGGAGTTCTTCCGCAACTAAAATCTGTTCAACGGAGAAGAGGGTCGAAGAAAGATGTATAAAGCACTGATTTTTTCAGTCTTGTTGGTGTCGGTGGTAGCTCCGGTGAGATCTCTAGACCCGCCTTTAAACGACGACGTTTTGGGGCTCATTGTATTCAAAGCCGATTTACGAGATCCAGAGCAAAAGCTAGCTTCTTGGAACGAAGATGACTACACTCCTTGTAGTTGGAACGGAGTCAAATGCCATCCGAGAACCAATCGAGTCACTGAGTTAAACCTAGATGGCTTCTCTCTGTCTGGTCGAATTGGTCGTGGGTTACTTCAGCTCCAGTTTCTTCATAAGCTCTCTTTGTCAAACAACAATCTCACGGGAATCATTAACCCTAATTTGCTGCTGAGCCTTGTTAACCTAAAAAGTTGTCGACTTGAGTAACAATGGCTTGTCTGGTTCGCTTCCTGATGTTTTTTTCAGGCAATGTGGGTCATTAAGAGTTTTATCTCTGGCGAAGAACAAGCTAACGGGGAAGATTCCGGTTAGTATAAGCTCGTGTTCGTCTCTTGCTGCTTTAAACTTGTCCTCGAATAGTTTTTCCGGTTCTATGCCTTTGGGGATTTGGTCTTTGAACACTCTAAGATCGCTTGATTTGTCAAGAAATGAGTTAGAGGGAGAGTTTCCGGAGAAGATAGACAGATTGAACAACTTGCGTTCGCTTGATTTGAGTAGAAACCGGTTATCCGGTACTATTCCTAGCGAAGTCGGGAGCTGTATGCTGCTGAAGACTATTGATCTTAGTGAAAACTCTCTATCAGGGAGCGTACCAGATACATTTCAGCAGCTTAGTTTGTGCTATTCTCTGAACTTGGGAAAGAATGGGTTAGAAGGTGAAGTTCCAAAGTGGATTGGGGAAATGAGAAGTCTTGAGTATTTGGATCTTTCCATGAATAAGTTTTCAGGTCATGTTCCAGACTCCATAGGCAACCTTTTAGCACTGAAAGTTCTAAACTTTTCCGGGAATGGGCTTATTGGTAGCTTGCCAGACTCAACAGCCAATTGTATCAACCTCTTGGCCTTAGATTTTAGTGGGAATTCACTTACTGGAAATCTTCCCATGTGGATATTTCAAGATGATTCTCGTGATGTTTCTGCATTAAAGAGTGATAATTCCACTGGAGGTATCAAGAAGATCCAGGTGTTGGATCTCTCTCACAATTCCTTCTCTGGCGCGATTGGAGCTAGTTTAGGAGATCTTAGAGACTTGGAGGCTTTGCATCTGTCCAGAAACTCTCTTACCGGCCACATCCCCAGTACCATTGGGGAACTAAAGCACTTGGGCGTCCTTGATTTGAGTCACAATGAGCTTAGTGGAATGATTCCTCGAGAAACAGGTGGAGCTGTTTCTTTGGAGGAGTTGAGACTAGAAAATAACTTGCTGGAGGGACATATTCCATCTTCCATCAAGAATTGCAGTTCTCTTCGGTCTTTGTAAGTCTCTTTTGCTTTAAGTTGCATTCAGTTAAAGATTTTCCCATTGAAGATTCTTTCTTAAATGTGTTCTGTTTCATGCTTCTTTCTACAGGATCCTGTCACATAACAAGCTGATAGACTCAATTCCACCAGAACTCGCAAAACTGACGAAACTCGAAGAAGTCGACTTATCATTTAATGAACTGACCGGAACGCTTCCTAAACAGTTGGCTAATCTCGGCTATCTCCACACCTTCAACATATCTCATAACCATCTCTTTGGGGAACTACCTGCAGGTGGAATCTTTAACGGTTTATCCCCAAGTTCAGTTTCAGGAAACCCGGGAATTTGCGGTGCTGTTGTCAATAAGTCTTGTCCTGCTGTCTCCCCTAAACCAATTGTGTTGAATCCTAATGCAACTTTCGATCCTTACTCGGGTGAAGTAGTGCCTCCTGGTGCTGGTCACAAAAGGATACTCCTTAGTATATCTTCTTTGATAGCCATTAGTGCTGCTGCAGCCATTGTGGTTGGTGTGATAGCCATCACAGTACTTAATCTGAGAGTCCGCGCATCAACGGTTTCAAGATCAGCTGTACCGCTCACGTTCTCAGGCGGAGATGACTTCAGCCGATCTCCCACTACTGATAGCAACTCAGGGAAGCTGGTGATGTTCTCTGGTGAACCTGATTTCAGTACTGGAACACATGCTCTGCTGAACAAAGACTGTGAGCTCGGTCGAGGTGGATTTGGAGCAGTCTACAGAACAGTTATCAGAGATGGGTATCCTGTAGCTATCAAGAAGCTCACTGTCTCAAGTCTTGTAAAGTCTCAGGACGAATTCGAAAGAGAGGTCAAGAAACTTGGAAAACTCAGGCATTCGAATTTGGTTAAACTTGAAGGATATTACTGGACAACTTCTCTTCAGCTACTGATCTATGAGTTTCTCTCTGGTGGGAGTTTATACAAACACTTGCACGAAGCACCAGGAGGTAGTAGTTCGCTTTCTTGGAATGATCGGTTCAACATTATCCTTGGTACAGCGAAATGCTTAGCCTACTTGCACCAATCAAACATCATCCACTACAACATCAAATCGAGCAACGTGTTGCTAGACAGCTCTGGTGAGCCTAAAGTAGGAGACTACGGATTAGCGAGGCTGTTACCCATGCTAGATAGGTACGTGCTGAGCAGCAAGATACAGAGTGCTTTGGGATACATGGCTCCAGAGTTTGCTTGTAGAACGGTGAAAATAACAGAGAAATGCGATGTTTATGGATTTGGAGTCTTAGTTCTTGAAGTGGTTACAGGTAAAAAGCCTGTTGAGTATATGGAAGATGATGTTGTGGTTCTGTGTGATATGGTGAGAGAAGCTCTTGAAGATGGGAGAGCAGATGAATGTATTGATCCGAGGCTGCAAGGGAAGTTTCCGGTAGAAGAAGCGGTTGCAGTGATAAAGCTAGGGCTCATTTGCACTTCTCAGGTTCCATCAAGTAGACCACATATGGGAGAAGCTGTTAACATATTGAGGATGATCAGATGCCCTTCAGGGAGCTCAGATGAGTTGGGTTCCAGTTGAAAAGAAAGTAAAAACTAACATGTTTTTTCACCAAGTTCCGGCGAAGAGGAATCCGGTTTGTTCATTTGGGGGTTGTAAGAGAGATCCTTGTTTGTGTTTGTTTTTTGATAATCTCTTATGTGTTATCTATTGTGTCTGGTAGTTTCAATTTCAATGTTTGTAGCTTCTTCTATTTATTGTTCTTATAACATTTTTAGGGTTGTATCGGATTTGTCTTCACCGGGTTCCATAAGTTGGGACTCTTTTGATGAAATCTTTACTTATTATTATGAAAGAAAGCCTCTAGTCTTCATTTCAAGTTTTGAACCTTCTTTTAGCAGTCTTAGAAAATAGAGTTTTCTTGTGAGACAAACAAAAACTTAGGGTTAAGAAAAACAAGAATCAAGGAAAAGGTGGCCAGAATTAGTGACTTGGTGTGATGATACTGTCTGAATAATAGAGTATATAAATAATACTCCATACTAAAAGAACTTAAGAAGCTTCAGTTGTTGCAACCATGTGCATGGGACTCTGTGAAAACTCATCAATTAGTCTGATCTTTTTTGAATTATGGGAATCGAGGAAACGTCTCAAGAATCGGTAATTAGAATACATTATTCATTTGGCCTTTTGAGTAATTGAGTGATTATATAAGTACATTTTAACAGAAGAACCCTAGTTTCAATGGCCAATAAAAGAGGAATCGAGCATGCCTTGTCTGAAACAGACCACGTTTTCCTCTCTTGGAGTAGGTAAAGAAAAAATTAATAGTACTACAATCCAAGTCGTATAAATTTATCATTCTATGAAAGAATAGAAGACACGTTGAACAAAATTCACGTTGTCCCAGCCTCGGTAATTTGCAAAATTTCTACTTTTTTATTCTTTAGTTAAAACTTAAAAATTCATTTGAATATAAACGATAGCATTAAACTGAGATGGCATCTAACGTTTTGACTTTCTAAGCCAATATGCTAACCTTTTTTTTTTCTTTTCAAATGAAGCTGAATTTTTTTTTTACTTAGGAGACATTTTCCAATTATAGTTTTTTCCTCTTCCATATACAGCTTATTAGTTATTATATAATCGATCAATTCTTGGGTTTACTTTTTACTTTTTTCTCTTGGGTTTACCTATATAACTAGGTTGTAGCTAGTAAAAATATTTTTTTATCTCTAAATACAGTTTTTTTCTTGTCACCTGTTGCACTTTCGTTAGAAATATATGATCTAGAGGTGGTTGATTAGGTGTAGTCATTCACTTCCGTAAGTTCGTTTGCTAAATGTCTATTGCTTGTCAGTGTCATAAACGTCTAAGCTCCTTGGCCTCGATTACTTTCAGAAAATTCTTACAAACGAAAAGGAACATTGGATCATTCATAGCCCAGAGGAACGAAGGCCTTATACCGTCCATATTTACGGGCCTTAAAATCCAAATCCATTATCCAAAGCAAAGCTCCAATAAAACAAATAACAATCCATAATTTTCAATCACGATCATGTTCATTCATTTTCTCTCTTTTCCATCCCCGGAGATCGACTCCGGAATTTTCCGACGGCAAAGATATTGAGGTTGTGAAATCCGATTCAAATTCTACCAAAATCAGCTCTAGGCTTTGTTTGCACTATGATCACGAGCAAAAGTTTTGAGTATTTAAATCCATCTACACTTTTGCTTATTGTGGTGTTAATGAACGCATATTTACCTAAAAACTCGAGATCGTACATGTATTAAACTGTCTACTTGTCTTGATTCAAATCCTCTCTACTACAATAGTACTCCAAACTAACAATGTTCTTTTGATAAAACCAATCACTATACCCAATCAACTTGACCTTTTCATTTACAGTATACCATTCCAAATTTCTAAATTTTGTAGTAATAACAAAGGTAATTTGATCATCCATAAGGGTTCATAATCAAAAACCCAAAGAGAATAAATAATTTACAGTTTAAATCCTTTGATAATCACTGTTTCATTGACCAGTCTGCACCAACCATGAGTTATTCAACTGTGACATGGCCGTCTCCCTAAAACTCTTGACCTTAACCAAACAGAAATGGGTGCAAACCGTACCCATACCCGACCCGACCCGGGTCGTTTTCAATAGATAACAAACCGGCCCACTATCCGTTCCTCTTCCTTGCGCCACAATCCCCCACGCGCTTGTATCTTCTCCACACGCGCCACCATCGTGATCATCATCATCCTCTACGTCACCGTCAGCGAGCTTCTCCACGAGTATAACTCCTTCCGGCGTCCTCTCTTCTCCTCTATCCCACTTCCCTTCCATCTCCGGCCAATCCTCCGCCTCTGGATTCGTTGCCGTCGTCGTCAAACCACCATTAGCCTCCGCGTATAAATGCATCAATAACGGAGATTCCCTAAGATTCTTAACAATCTCAACCACCGAATCTCTCAACCACACATCAAGCTTCTCCCTCGACACAACAGATCCACCACGTTTCCTTTCACCGATCCTTTCAATCTTCACCGCCGCAGACGGTGGTGTCAAATTCTCCATCCTCATCGAAACCTTCCCGATCTCACATCGATTCCGTCGATTCGTCACCGGAACAACACAAGACGATCGAGAATTCAAATTCAACGTACGACGATCACAACGAACGGCACATGCACTTCCTCCTCCGCAACAAATCCTCGCAGACGCCGCCATCTCCGCCCACCGGAAGATTCAATTGCAGAGACGAATCGGAATCGGAGAAGATATGCGATGAGATTGAAGATTGCTTCACGCTGACGATTTCTCTTATAGAAGGAATCACACCAATGGTTGCTTTTAAGAATACGTTTTACTGACGCAGCCACACACAATCCAATGGCAATGATGAACGATTATTAAATTTATACCTAATTTTTTTTAATTTCTCCAGCATGGAAGTTGTGTAAGTTGTTTGATCGGACGGTTGAGATTTAGTGATTGTAGAAATAGCGTTTAACTTATTCTTCACGTTATCTTCAAAAGTCTGAGGTGGCTTAAGTAGGTGATTATTCCCTGTAAAGTGTTGACGATAGAGACTAAACTGAGATCTGATATTGACCGTTCGATTTAAATCCAACGGTTGGAATTACGTGAAGCCGGTACGGGCATAGAGAACGTGGCGACGCGGTTTAGCTGTGTGCATGGCTTGGGCGGGCACACGCTAGTACTGGATTTAAATTGTGGTGAACACGTGTCATCTATGTCATTTATAATCTGAACCATTAGATACGCCACTTCAGATTACACGGTGGACAATGTCTTTTACAATAGATTGGGCCTTTCGTTTTTGATTTTTGCGGAAAGTTTCGGCCTTTTGGGTATATGGCCCAGATCTTTCCTTTCTTAAAACAGAGATTGTACAATAATCTGAATTCTTATATAAGGATCGGATCATTGAACTGAGAGCTTTGGAATTTAATATCGCGTTTGCGTTTGACGTTTCTCGTGCCATAAACTACACAACGACAAAAGGACATGCAAGAACATCGTAGATATGCATCAACATAAGGTTGCGACACAAATCGAGCAACTATGCAAAACGCCTAAAGCCACGAAGCCTTAGAGATTGACAAGTAGATCAGTCAAAGTTGGCGTGGCTTAGTAATAACTTTATATACTTTTTTTGTTAAGAAAACATTTTATATACTTATCTGAATAAATCCACCTTTCGCTTTATTTCTATTTTCTAGTGTCTACATATATAAAAGATCATGACGACCACAGTCATTATCATTATCTTCCTTGCGATCTTTGCTACGAGTCTTCACAACGCCAGAGGAGCAACCATGGAACCGTGTCTCGAATCAATGAAGACTGCTTCGCTTCCTGATCTTCCGTACGCTTATGATGCGCTAGAGCCAGCGATCAGTGAGGAGATCATGCGGCTACACCACCAGAAACACCACCAGACTTATGTCACTCAGTACAACAAAGCCCTAAACAGCCTTCGCTCTGCCATGGCCGACGGTGATCACTCCTCCGTCGTCAAACTCCAAAGCCTCATCAAGTTCAACGGCGGAGGTCAAAACCCTTGCTCTAAACGATACTAAGTTCTAATTAAAATCTTCTTGTCGGTGCTTGTTGATCTTAAGGATTTTGATTCATTTTGTTGCTTTGCTTGTAGGTCACGTTAACCATGCAATCTTCTGGAAAAACCTAGCCCCTGTTCATGTACCAATATGTTACTTCTTCGTCACTCCATCTTCTATTTAAGATGATTTTTTTCTTTATATATAATGGGTCATATATATTGAAATGGTAGGAAGGAGGTGGCAAGCCACCGCACGATCCTTTGTCTTCGGCGATTGATGCTCATTTCGGATCCTTAGAGGGATTGATCCAAAAGATGAACGCCGAAGGCGCTGCTGTGCAGGGATCTGGATGGGTGGTAAGTTCTTCTTAGAATCTCATTAACAATAAGTTAATTAGGATATCAATTATTGGTTTTTGCTGGGAATTTATAAAATTTTCTGACATAATATCAAAATTCAGTTAAATTTGAATTGGACATGTGATGTAGTATATAGGACTCTGTTCGAAATGAGAAAGAAAAAAGAAGTTAACATTAATTTCAAAAAACGTGTTAACAAAAATCTAAAAGTGACAATAAGATTGGTTAGTGTATAGTGTAGCATAAGAAACTCATTGACTTGTTAACTAACAGAAACATTTTTTGGTTGCATAAAACCCATGTTTGTGCACCCTTTGTTTTATAGTGGTTTGGATTAGACAGAGAGCTAAAGAGACTTGTCGTTGAGACCACAGCCAATCAGGTAGATTAATGTAGTAATTAAGCTAATTTGTATCATGTCATGGTCTATCTCTCAATAATTTAGGAAAAATAAAAGAAAAAGATTTGATATAGAGAGAAAATACAGGACCCATTGGTGACTAAGGGATCACACTTAGTTCCTCTAATCGGGATTGACGTGTGGGAGCATGCCTACTATCCACAGGTACTCTAATCTCAATTATAATACTCCTTGTCCTTAATATAGAATCGTTTCAATAATAAATCATCTAATTGAATATTAACTTTGATCATCAATTGGTACGGGTAATGCAGTACAAGAATGCTAGAGCGGAGTACTTGAAGAACATATGGACTGTGATCAACTGGAAATATGCCTCGGACGTATTCGAGAAGAACACTCGTGATCTTGATATTAACTGAGTTTTGGTACATGTAAAAATATGCATATAATAGAACGAAGCTTTGAAGGTTTGAAGTAGTAATCAATACGGAAGTAGCGAAGATGCAATAATAAGTGATGCTATGTACTTTGGAAAATAATGTTTGGTAATGTTTTTCTTTTTGTTGTTTTAGAAATAAAATAAAAAAATATATATTTTGGTCTCGGTTAACTTAATGTAATAAATCTAATTAAATAAATAAAATTTTAATATTTGAAAGTATGTATATAAATGAAATTTCGAAGCAAAAAGATTAAAAGCCAAAATTGTCCAAACACTTAAAAATCCATCGTTTTTTAAAATCACTAATCTCATAAAACATTGTAAATTGGTTAATTTGAGGTCCGCTTGGTAAAAAACATTCATGAATCGCGAGGCAGAATTGGGCTTATAATGGGTCATGCACAGGCCCAAATATTTCATAGTCAAACCCACTTATAATAAAACCCTAAACGGCAATGGTCTGCATATATTAGAGATTATTTTGCAAATTTTAGGGTTACTGAACGCTTCTTCTTCCCTGTCGCCGCATCAAAGAGAACTGAAGCAATAAGCTTTTGAATCTCTCTGCATCAACATGGCAAGTCTTCTCGTTCTTTGATACATTCATAGTTTAGAACACAGAATCAAGCTCACAGATGTTTAAAAAGCAAAATTGTGTATTGAATTCGAGTTTGTTTGGTTCTTGCAGACTTTCAAACGTAGGAATGGTGGCAGGAACAAGCATAACCGTGGTCATGTGAACCCAATCAGGTGTTCCAACTGTGGAAAGTGTTGCCCCAAGGTTCGATCTCCTGCTTAATCATTTCCCGAGACTTGTTTAGTCTAAGATTGAAAATGTTTCGTTCTGATTTTGGTTCTTTTGTTGAATAGGATAAGGCGATTAAGAGATTCATCGTCAGGAACATTGTTGAGCAAGCTGCTATTAGAGATGTTCAAGAAGCTAGTGTCTACGAAGGTATGTGTTTTAATCATTCTTGTTGTGCATTGGTAATTGTGTGTTTGAGATTTTAGTGTAATTAGTTATGTATTTGTTTTGGATTGGTAGCTTACACTCTCCCAAAGCTTTACGCTAAGATGCAATACTGTGTCTCGTGTGCTATCCACTCTCACGTTGTTAGAGTCCGATCCAGTACTAACCGTAGGGTTCGTACCCCACCACCTCGTTTCGCCAGACGCAAGGTAAGCTCTCAGTACAATTACTTCATAAGTAGAACTCTGTCGTTACTGTTACTGTATATTCAAATGAATTAGAATGTAAGCTCTACACTGTTTCGTAAGCTTTAAACTAGTCCATGTAAAAACTTGACATTGTATATTCAACTCTTTGTTTTGATGGAGAATGCATCCTCTTCTATGTTTAGTTTGAGTATATGGATTTGTTGCAAGATTTTTACTGAGTGCTTTCGAAAACCATAAATTTTTCAGGAGGATACTCCCAAGCCTGGACAACCTGGTCAGGCTCCTCGCCCTGCCGGTGGTGCTCCTGCTGCTCCTCGTGCCTAAAGACTTCAAGAAGCTGGCAATCCAAAACTTTTTATATTCTAGTTTCAGTCTCTGTCTTGTCTGAAATTTTTGAAGATGTTTTCTACATTTTGTTAAAGATGATCTCGCCATATGGGTCTTTAAATGTTGCAGACCATTTTACCAGTTTTGAATTTGATTTTTCCTCACTTTTGATCTGTGCAAAACCGGTCGTTTGAGAGAAATTTTAAATGACGAAGATTCACTCTTTCTTAAGCGATGCTGAGTACAATATGGTATCTCAAAAAGTTGACATAAGCCAAGAAATAATATATTAGAAGGTTGGATTTGATTGTGTTGTAGAGTAGAAAGTAGAAACAGAGGCTACAAAAATGTTCCTTTTTTTCGACAAGCTACAAAAATGTTCCTATCAACTTGATTTATATGATAAAACTATAAGTTAACTCTGCAAATTATCTTTGGCAATCCTTACGAAATGTGACATGGGACAATCTGTTTTGAGAGCATTGGGGATAATGTGAGATCTGCTAGCAGCGTATCCCTCCTGCAAAAATCCAAAAGCAGAGCTTTTTAGCTTTGTACCTTCACATGTGTTTCTTCAGAGATCAAAGCTGTGAGAATTCTATTACTGCTTTACCTTAACTAGTGCACTCATCATCTTCTTCAACGGAGGTGAGTTCATCTTTGCTCGGCTCGCCATCTAATCACAACATAAACAAATCCTTATCATCTAATGTGGATGGATATCATCTTTCTTAACAGTGGAATTGAATAATGGTTTTAGAGGACCTCATCCATTTTGGTGTATCCAGGGGGTAGTCTTGGATCACTCTCTTCGATCATTATGCTGAGAAGCTTCTCTAGATCCATGCCAGTGCCTTCACTGACCCATCCCCATTCCTTTGCCAATTCCAGCATTTCCGTAACATACGATGCATCATGAAGCGGTCCAAGCCACATTGGTCCTGAAACAACTAGTGAAGAAGAAGCCTTTGTATCACTGCAGGGACATCCCATCAAACCAAGTTCATCGAATCTCAATGTATGAGAATGGCCACATAGATTACAGTGCGTGACAAAACCATAGTTCCTACAGTTAAAAGACACATTACAACTCCAATTAGAAACGCAACATAACCAAAACTCTGAGTCCTTTGAGTCAAATTTTAAACATAGAAACAACCTGTCCTCATGTAGCTTCCCACGGTGAACCCTCAACATGACTCTAAACACAGGTCCATGATAAGAATAGTACGAGAAAAGAGGGGTAACATGATAACCAAGCAGAGCGGCCTCTCTTACTGCTCCGCCTATAAGCATTCGCAGTCCAATCTCATTCCCAAATGGCATAGGCCGAATAAATGCTCCATAGGCTGCTAAAGAACTACACCAAAACAAACCAAGAAATGTTTAAAATTTCAACCTCCTTAGTCCCTAAATCATAGCATGTTTCCTAAAATGTACTATAAAACCTATCGATATCACACATTTCAGATGCTTCCCAATGAAACCAGTAAACAAAACCGATTAAATTAGGAAAACTAAAGCACAAATATCACAAATTGTATAGCTTTCACTCACTTATAAGGTCTGTGACCACCAGAAGAGTAACCATCAGTTGACGTCAAGTAAAGCAAACCACCCAATCTCAATGCATTAAACGCATCTCTCAGAAACGAAGAATCGCTCCCGAACGAATCAATGTCAATCATATCGAAGAAATCCGCAACCATATACCTCTCAATCATCGCTTTATTAGCCAACATATGCGTCACGACCCATCTCCTCTCATCTCCAATACCTCTCTCTACTTTACTCAGATTATCCGTAATCACTCTCCGATTAGCATCGTTCGCGTCATTCGCCATCACGAAATCAGCTTCAGCTTCCACAAGATAACGAAGCGACCTAATTCCACATCCGCACATTGCGTCAAGTACCCGTAAGCTTCCATTAGATCTCTTGTACAGCGTCGCTGACAAAACACCGAGGTCTCGTCCTCTAGCGCTTTCATGGCGGAAAAATGTCTCTCCCGTTTCGAATTCGAGATTCCTCTCAATCTGAACCTCGGATTTCACGAAAATGTGATTAAATCTAGATTTAGAACTCTGGGATCGACATGAATTTGGGGATTTACATCTAGGGATTTGCGATTTGTGCACAGTGAAGGAAGAAGATAGGGTTTTAGGAGAGAGAGTTAACAACATAGCGGGAAACAAATCTGACTGTTTGCTTAATTTTTTTTAATCGTTTATCTAAATAAGTCCGTCCGATATTATGCCACGTGTACGGAAGAGATAAAAACCTCGTATTAGTACGCCACGTCATCAATTTTATGATTAGGTGGGTCCCACTGTGTAATCGTCTATACTCGAGACCACATAAAGATACGATACACTTTTTCGCCTTCCATAGAATTGAGTCTCTGTTTCTGGGTTTTGGACTTTGAAGAAATTAGGGTTTTTGTTGAATCATTCAAAAACATTGACCATGGAGATCAAAGAGACTAAGAGTCTCCAACAAGAATGAAGAAGAAGATTAAAAAATCTCTTTTTTCTCTTGGGCTGAATATTATTTGAGAGGAGCAGGTGAAGTTAAAATTTTTCTAATTGATTACAAAAATGGCAGATTGTTTTAGGTCTCCACTATTATGAACCTTCCATATTTTTAATTCTATTTTGCTTATATTATCCCTTAAATTTTTTTCTTGCATTACTTGGTGATAAATTGATAATTCTTCTCCCCTCTTTAAAAAAAAAAATTATAGTTTCGGTTTCTCTTCTCTTGATCAATGAATACAAATCGGTATTCGTAAACAATCTCTTCCGTTTTATTTTACTGACTCATATATGTTTTTATCTGGGTTTTATATTTTTCCCCTTTGTGTTTGAAAGAGTTTGTGGTGTAACGTTTATTATCCATAAGATCCAAAAAACCAAACGCTGGAAATTTTGTCTCCAGGTGAGATATTCTTTGTTTAATCTTTTGGAATCTAATGAATAGAAGCATAATTTGCCTCAAAATCCTCATTATCGGTTTTGTTGATTGAGAAAACAAAATGATGTAACGCGTGAATCTTGTTTTTCGATTTTTGGGGGTTTCTCTTTTGTCTTAAGCCATCTTCGTGGTCCTTGTGAAGCTTTAAGATGAAAACCAAAATGCCGTATCCGTTACAATCTTAAACCCTGTTCCAAGTTTTGATTTTTTTTTATGTTTCTCAATTTTTGTTTGTTTGCAGGAATTAAAAGCCTCTTGAATATCCACAGATTAGAGGCCAAAGAATCTCTGGACAAATGGACTAAAACCGCAGGTACTCACTCCTTTCAATACTTAAACCTCATTTTTGTCAAAAACAATTCTGAGGTTGTCAAAAAAATAATGTTGGAAGAGACAGAGATGAGACTTCTGAGCTAATTTTTTCCTAGGTATAATCATCACGCAATATAGTTTAGCTATTTTGTTTTGTTTTTCTTAATAGATATTCGATTTTGCTCTGAGAAGCTAAACATGAGGGGTACCTACCTAACACTGTATTCACTATCGGCATGCTCTGTTTCATTTTTTATGTCTCTTGCTCAGGATGTATCTCACTCACTCTCTGGATTAGCCTCGATTGTTCTAAATCAAATTTGGGAGCTCAAGTTATTAGACAACCAACTTTTACCTTGACTATTTCTTTTGCTTGAACATTTTGTCCTTTTCTATGTCTAATGTGATCACAATAAGGTCAATTTGATATATTTTTTGTAATTTCTTTTTGTTCTGTGGTTTGTAGATGTCACATTTATACAAGGGGCTCATTGGGTTGAGGATTTCTGTGTTATCAATCTGGTGTTAGTTTGAAGTTATGCTCACATGGGTGATATTCAAGAAAGATTGTCAGTTTCATCATCTTCGTCTTCTTCATCATCCTCATTGTCACTATCAACATCACAACCTAAAGCGGATTCATTGCTGATAGAGGAGGAATCTTGGATGATTGCAGAGGAGAGAGCTCATGAGATACTTTGCACTATCCAACCTGCCCTTGTTTCAGACAAAAGTAGGAATGAGATCATTGATTATGTACGAACTCTAATCAAGAGTCATGATGGAATTGAGGTTAGAAACTCTGCTTCTCTTTGCTGACATGTTAAAGATTTATGTTGTTTGTTAAATTTCATTGGGAACATGTTTATCTACAGGTCTTTTCATTTGGTTCAGTGCCACTAAAGACCTATCTCCCAGACGGAGATATCGATCTGACTGTCCTAACTAAGCAAAATATGGATGACGATTTTTATGGTCAATTGTGCAAGAGGCTTCAAAATGAAGAAAGAGAATCTGAATTCCATGCAACAGATGTGCAATTTATCCCTGCACAGGTCTGCTTGTTTATTTACTCTTTGGTTTGGTTTTTGTATTTTCTTGTTTGGCCAAATTTTCCTTAAGAAAGTTTGCTGATTTATGATAGGTCAAGGTCATAAAATGCAATATCAGAAACATTGCTGTGGATATCTCTTTTAATCAAACGGCAGGTCTCTGTGCTTTATGTTTTCTCGAACAGGTACCATACTCTATTCAAAATCAGGCTCTAGAAGTCTACTAAACAGATTATTGCCTAGCTTTGATTCTTAGTTATTGGTTAAGCTCTGGTTTTATGTATTCTCAGGTTGACCAACTCTTTGGGAGAGATCATCTTTTCAAGCGTAGCATCATCCTAGTCAAAGCTTGGTGCTATTACGAGAGTCGAATTCTTGGTGCTAACACTGGATTGATCTCAACATATGCATTGGCAGTACTAGTTTTGTACATCATCAACCTATTTCATTCATCTTTATCTGGCCCTCTAGCGGTAATCACTCTTTTTCTGAAGCTTTTGCATCGTCTACAGTAAGTGATATATGCAAAAGATGAGATTATAGAATTGTCTTTCAACAGGTTCTGTATAAGTTCTTGGATTACTATGGTTCATTTGACTGGAACAGCTACTGTGTCAGTGTCAATGGTCCTGTGCCAATATCTTCCCTTCCAGAACTTACGGGTAAGGATGATACCAAAAATCATAGATATTTCTATCCGTGGCATTTCTCTTTGTTATTTGACATTTTAATTTGGTGTTTTCTCTTTCTATCTTTCCAGCAGCTTCTCCAGAAAATGGGCATGAGTTATTGCTTGACGAGAAGTTTTTAAGAAACTGTGTAGAGTTATATTCTGCTCCAACTAAAGCTGTTGACTCAAATGGTCTTGAGTTTCCTATCAAACATCTCAACATAGTTGATCCTCTAAAATACAGCAACAACCTCGGAAAAAGTGTTACACAAGGTACTTTATTAATAACAGTTTTATATATAATATAGCAGTTGTCAAATTGTTCATTTTCTTAAAAACATTTTGTTAGGAAATGTCCAACGAATAAGACATGCTTTTACACTTGGAGCTCGAAAGCTCAGAGATGTTCTTTCGTTACCTGGTGCCACCATGGGATGGAGATTGGAGAGGTTCTTTCGTAACTCTTTGGAGAGAAATGGTAAGGGACAAAGGCAAGATGTATATGATCCCGTTACTGCGTTTGGTACTGGAAGATCAGAATTGTCTGAACTTAGTGGAGATTTCGAAGGTTACTTTGGAAGACTTGTGTATGGGCAAATTCATGGGTATAGCTTACCTGGAACATTTCAGCATGGCTATATCCCGGTTAGTTCTCAAGTTACGGACCCAAGTGGTTGGGATATTGTTCGTCACCTAGTGACTTACCGAAAGAACGAGTTTTATCTTAACAGTCTCAATGTATCAACCTCTACGCAGCCTTTTCCTTTGCACTCTCATGGCTGTCAAAACATGAGGAGAGGAACCGGCACTTATATTCCTGACATGGTATGCGATTAACCCCACTGACTGACTTTTTGGCTTAAAAATTAAATTATTGCTGCAAGCTTCTAAATTGCTTTCTCACTGGTTGTTGCAGAGTCAACAGGTATACTCTGACAGGTTCAGAGACTCAGATACTGGAACCTCATCAACTCATCACTTAGAAGCTTCCGCTGAGGCAATAGACAACGATGGAGCCAGTAGTTGCTGCAATCTTTCTGGTGAAGTGTCTACTTGTACCGGTAACAAAGGAGAAGAATGTGTGAGACCAGAGACTAATAGTAACCCAGATCAGAAGCCTGTGCTGAAATCTCAAAGATCTGAGCATTTGGAGATTGATGACAATTGCCAATTTCCACCACCAGAAAACCCAGTAGAACCTCTATCTTCAAGCACATTGGTATTGGAAAATGGCAAAGAAGAGAACAGCAGATCCTCCCAAACCATGAACGGTTCTTGACTTTTAGTGATTGTGACCAAATCTTTGGTTGATATCTTGACATTACCTTCAGGATTACTAGGTTCTCTTAACCACATGGACAAACTCTATTTGGGATTTCAGGAACTTATTTTCTTTGTTGACCAATGTTTCGTTAGAGATCTCTTCTTCATTGTTGGTAGGACAGAATATACAATAGTGGTATAGATTAGCAGTTGATTTGGCATTTGTCTTTTGCTTGGAATCCATACCTTCAGATTTTTTTATCCAAATTCATACGAGATCTCCTCAATTTTACTTCTTGTTGTGGCGATTTGTGCAGAGAGTAACAAACATTATTTCACTCAATGCTCAAAACATAAACACTAGGTTTTGTACAACCAGACACTATGAAAGTTGTCCTGAGTAACAACAATAGGTTTCACGTGTTACAGGATACACAACAGGTATACAGAAACACAAGGCAATCTTTGAGATTTGAGTGCCTCCTAACAAAGAACTATACATCAGAGTGTGATACTGTCTGGGGAGTGAGAACATACATATGACAGTCGTGTGCGTCTACTTGAGCTTCAAAGGAGCCTGACGCGTTCTCTGTTACATCTTTGTGCTGCCACAAATCTCTTACTGAGACGCTAATGGTAGATTCAAGACCGATCATATCCCATGATGCTGTAATAGTTGCTGGCTCAGAGCAACGGTTCCAGAGAGCAACTACCATACGGTCACCAGATAAAGGTCCTGACCACACCTGCAGTGAAAGTTATCACCAATTTGAGTCCTCAAGTTTGTTTTTCTGCTTTTTCTATGAGTCTGATAATTCTGTGACTCCCAAATTCCCAATTCATACCTGCTGACAATCATCTTCTCCATTGGCTTGAATTTTCCTTCCTTGAACACCAAGTGGGTCTGCAACCAGAAATGTTCTCAGATTCTCGGTCTTCGACAATGGATTCGTGGAAAATCATGTATGCAGTGAAGCTAACAAGTAAACGAATATTGAAGTTCACCTTGGTTTACAGCTATAACCTCCTTATTACTCAAAATCTCAAAAGTTTCAGCGGTCATGTTTCTTACATCACAACCAATCAAAAGGGGTGCCTGCAAGAGAACCATTGGGATGAGATGAGATCTATGATATAAAAGAAAATCAAGAAACCATGAAATTAGTTACATACCTTCATCAAAGCCCAAATGCTAAAATGACCTCGATACTCCTCGTATGTCATCCCTCCATTCCCAATTTCCAACATATCCGGATCTAATGCAATGGAAACAAATGTGATCAATATTTAGATGTACTAGTTGTTACTCCAATGGAAACCATTTTTTGAGATCTTAAATGATTGTTTACCATTCCAACCACCAGGTCCAGCATATGCAGCCCACTTGTTATTCAAATCAGCAATTGTAGTCATACTTCATAAACAACAACAAAAAGAGAGTAAAACAATCAGATCATGATTCACTCAAACCAATTCCTCTGCTAGCAACTTAATGTTCATGTCCACAAATCACAATATCTTCATTACAAACAAATGAAACACGGGATTTATCTTATGCTAAGAGATATTCACCTTGCCCATGTATCATTGATGTCATCGGTTGTCCGCCAACTGTTTCCAACTTCTTTTGCCCACAAGGCTGGATCATCAACGCCCCTACAAAAAGTAGCAAATACAAAAAAAAATGGTTAATAACTTTGCAGAATGCTATGGGAATCAAATTTATCCATCCTGTGTGAAGACAAATGTGTACCATTCACAAAGTGAATAGAAGATTGAGCGACCAGTTGCGTTTAGAGCATCACGCATTGGAGGGTATCTAGAAAGTGGAAACCATAATCCGTATCAAGTCATTCAGAAAATTATACCAAAAAAAATTCGTGAGTAAAAATTGGTACCATATCAAATCATAAAAGATCAAACCTTTTGATTGGTTTTATTCCCAGGTTGAAACAGTTGTCATATTTCAGATAATCCACACCCTGGAAATCAAGTCTACCAATGTGAAACCAAGACAAAGATACCACCAAGTATCAAAACATAGTGATCTTTGTTTGTAATTAGAAATATAAGATAATCCTCTATAAGGTTCACTTAAAAAGGTCATTGAGTACTCAAAGTTTGAACAACATTCGCTGAAAACTAACCCAAGAAGCAAAAATGTCTGCATCATCCACTTCATGGAAAAGGGATCCCGGGCGAACTTGACACGTGAAAACGCTGAGAGGAAATATTAAAATAGAAACATGAGACCATAGCATATAACTTCATCGAGCTTATAATACACCAAAATAGGTACATGAATATTAACCTACCCAGCATCAGAATATATACCGAGTTTGAGACCCTTTGAATGAACATAATCAGCAAGAAGCTTAATTCCTGATGGGAAGGTTTCAGGATGAGGAACCAATTGACCCTGGATTTCAAGTTTTAGAAAAGAACGTAAGCATCCAGCGTCTAGTCTAATGTCATTTACAAAGTCACAGAGAAAAAGAACTTCTACATGAAAATAGAGTAAAGCCAATATCACTTCTACAAAGACATGAGCTCACTACAGATAGTATTTTTGAGAGTAAGCAGAAATTACTACTCAAGTTAGAACAGCAATGCTGAAGTAATACAAGCGATCTTACCTTTGAATCGCGTAACAAATTGGACCAACAATCATCTGCAACAAACCCAAATTTGTGAAACGTTAAAGCAGTAAGATTTCAAGACTCTCAGATAGAGAATATATGAAGAGACAGGTTCAGGGGACAAATACCAATATTGACATGTATGTATCCTAAATCAGCCAAGCCAGATGAAACCAATGCATCAGCTGTTAAATATAGTATAAAAATATCAGTAACTCTAATGAGAACATAGAAAGAAAAAAATCAGATGAAACATGTGAGTAGCTTTTTGTTAGAAGCTATCAAACAAAAGAAAGCTTTACCAGTTTCCTTTATGACTGTTTCATTGATATTGCAAGCAAAGAAATTCCAGCTATTCCATCTGTCGATTAACAAAGCACAATTCCAATCACAGAATTTCTAAACTCTTAACTTGTAAGACAGATTCAAAGTTTCAACCTTTACATCAGAATAGAGACAAAAACCCATAAAAATTGTTCCTTTACATGTTGGCTGAATCAGAAATACCCACGAAAATCAAAATCGAAAAAGCTAATTCCTTGAACCTACCCCATTTGAGGAGTTCGAGCAAGGCCATTGTTGAGCTGCAAGCGTCCATACATAGAAGTATCATAGATCGAATTGAAGGATTTGCTGAATACTAATCCACCAGTATTGCTCTGCAACAATGGAGCTTTGACTCTCCCTGAGATCGACTGAGAGACCAAAACAGATAAAGAGAAGAGCCCAACGAGGAACAATACTGAATCTTTCATCCTCTCGATAATCACCATTAACGTCTTCTCACTTCTCCAGAGATTTCTTCCTCTACGTGTCCTCCTTGAACAAACCAAAGCATTAATAAGTCAAACACGTAAACGTCTTATAGATGATGGAGTCGTATCGATATCTCCAACTCCAAGAGTTCGATAGAATAATCAATAGTTCCAGAATGTGCTTATGAGTCATCATCATATATCGTTTTCATTTATTACAGTTTTAACTCGATAATAATTAAATTAGACCATCGACCATTGTTTAACAAAAAGAAAGTGTATTTAAATCTGTCCCATTTAGTTTGACATACGAATTGCTCTTGGGTTTTAATCATTTATCTGATTAATGTTTAAAGTTAGTATAATTCAGCACATGATTTGTGTGTGATACAAGTTTATCAAAAGATTAAAAAAAACAATGCTATTATCTTAAGTAATTTCATCATATTTCCAACACAATCTAAACAAATATCAAAATAAGAGAGTTCAACGGCTATAGAAAAAGAAGCCCAAGAATATAAAACCTATAGCAAGAGCCAAGGCGGTCATGCCTAAACCGGATTTAGGCTTAGAGTTAGAGCTCAAAGGGGTGCATGGTCTCCACACCGTGTCTTTTCCAGGAATATCCTCCAGGGCGATTCCTTTAGCTGCCAACAACTCTCTAATCTGGTCGCTTCTCTTGAAATCTTTATTCTTTCGGGCTAATTTCCTTTCTTCGATCCTCCGCATGACCTCTCCTTCTCCCATTCCTGCTCTTGTTAATGCCTTTTGTTTCATCTCTTTCAAAAAATCGTTGTAGCTTAGAGTCGTGAGCAAACCAAGCACATCAAGAACTTCCCTCACTGCTTTCTCAACCTCGACTAGTGATACGATCAGCGACATCCGCTGCTTTTTCTGAATTTTCTTGAGCTTGGAGATTGAAACGTTGATGAATGTCAATGCATCTTGAAAAGCACCCGTGAGTATATGGGCAGTGTTCAAGTCGTTTGACATTTTTGTTTCAAACTCACTTTTCACCTTCTTTATCATCTCTTTGGCTTCTGCAGTCTGTTGAGTCTTTCCCACATCTCCACTCATTTCTTCTCGATATGGTGATAGAGATTTAACAAGATCTTCTAATGTCTGAATAAACAAAGATTACAGGGTTAGAGTTATGTAACATTCAAACCGTTTTCCCTTAAAAGATGTTAATCAAATTGTGGGGGTAGTGCACCTGATAAACACAATATAAAGCATCCGATGAACTCTCAAGAAGCGAAACCGAATAGTTCAGAGGAGAACGGTACTGTGCACTCATCAAGAAGTGTCTCAGAGCCAGTGGATGATATTTAGCCGTGATCTACACAGATTCAACAATTTTGCATTAGCCATGAGAAAACACTAACCCAAAAAGACTCAATTTATGATATTGGAACAAATAAGAAACATACTTCTCTAATCGTAAAGAAGTTGTCCAGTGATTTTCCCATCTTCACATTGTTGTTGGTAACATGCCCATTATGCAACCAGTAATTCACACCACTATCTTCACAAGCAGCACATGTCTGGGCGATCTCATTTTCATGGTGCGGGAATTTCAGATCTGCGCCACCACCATGAATGTCAAATCTCGGAGACAGGTAATGAGCACTCATGGCGCTGCACTCGATGTGCCATCCTGGTCTTCCTGGACCCCAAGGGCTCTCCCAACTTGGTTCACCAGATTTTGCAGCCTGCATAAAAATTTCAGCATAAACTCCAACTGCTCTAGTTTGATGACTCAGATAAGAATTCAACAAAAAGATTTTACTTGTCAAACCTTCCATAATGCAAAGTCGGCAGGATTGCGCTTCCTTGAGTCAACAGCAACACGCTTACCAGCTTGAGTATGATCCAGCCGTTGCCCAGATAATTGACCGTAACTCGGTGACTTATCCACTGAGAAGAACACATCTCCACCCACTGCATACCCACATCCGTTTTCAATGATCTGTAGCAAGGAAGCATATCAATCACAAACCTTACTGAGAATAATAATATCATTATTCCACCATCTTTTAACAAAGAACACTGAAGGAAACCAAATAAGAAGAAAGAAGACAGCAAACCTTTTCAATCATCTTAATAATGTGCTCCATATGGTCACTGACACGAGGCTGGCGGGTGGGAAGGAGGCACTGAAGAGCAGTCATATCTAGAAGATACTCCTCGCAAAAGCGATTACTCAAATCTAACGGCTTCTCCCCACACTTTTTAGCCTTTTCAATTACCTACAGGTTCAGTATTCAGATTTTTAGAATGTTGTGAACCTAATCATAAACAGTGGAAAATGCCAACAAAAGGAAAGAGAACAGAACAGAACAATGTTCTCTGCAAAATAAGATTAAAACCGCAAAAAAGGATTCTTGGTGTCTGAAACGCAGAAAAGATACCATACCTTGTCATCAACATCTGTAACATAATCATAAACAAGGGAAAATGCCAACATAAGGAAAGAGAACAGAACAAAGTTCTCTGCAAAATAAAATTAAAACCGCACAAACAGGAGGATTCTTGGTGTTCATTGGCCTAGTTTTAAAACACAGAAGAGATAGCATACCTTGTCATCAACATCTGTAAAATTTCTGATATAATTAACTTCATAACCCAAGTGCCTTAAGTACCTGCATAATCAAACAGTACAACACTAGAGAGATAAATACCAACTTCAAGAAAACTCATGACTTCAATGTCTCTAAGCTTAGTACATTGCTTATCAAATCATAGAAGAAGCTAACAATAGACAAAATAGTTTCAAAATGTTCAGATTTTTTACAGAATTTCCCCTAAATTGTTACCTAGAGAAAATCAAATTCAACAACAATCCTACTGCGAAAACAATGAACTGACCTGTAAAGGAGGTCAAAAGAGACGGCGGCACGAGCGTGCCCAATATGGCTATAATCGTAGGCGGTGATGCCACAGACATACATCCCGATCTTGCCGGGATTGATCGGCTTAAAAACTTCTTTCAACTGAGTCATCGTGTTATACAATGTCAACTCCGGTTTCTCCACCTCCATCTCTGACATCTCTCCGCCGCTCGGAATTCTCAAAAACTCTGATGATTTTTTCACTTCTCCCAGCTCAAATTTTACATTTGACTCAAAAAAAAAAAAAAAAAGGAAATTTCTTAAATAGCCCTAGATTTCACTAAGATTTCCATTTTTCTATTTAGGAAATTATCTATGATTTTCTGACCCCCAAAAGATACATTTGACTCTAAATAAAAAAAGAAAAGGAAATTGCTAAATACAATTTTAGATGGCTACGAATATTTTACTCTAGTTGATCTGATCTCTAACAAAGAAAATCTCGAATTTAACAAAATACACACAAGTAATTAAGTAAACAAAATTGGACGCCTCATAAATCATCAGATCACTAAACACCCACGTAACCAAATTAACAGTCACAGACATATTCTTCATTTGTGGCCCTCGTTACACTTACATCAACCCCCACCACACAACCACATGATATCTTATATAAACGTATCACAATTTGCAATCACTTTAACTTGGAATTTAAGTGAAAACCATAAGATGGGTTTTAGAGCACTGCCTATTCAACACAACAGTGGATTCATCTCCACGACCAAAGTCCCGATCTCAAGAACCTCGCCGAGATTTAGCCGGAACCCTCGATGGGTCGTTGTCTCAGCAAAGCAAGAGAAAGATGAGGAGAAGAAGAAGGAAGAGGAGACTTCGTTGTTTACGAAATTAACTGATGCGTTGGACTTCTCACAAGTTCGGTCGGAGAAAGACGCTGAGCTTCTCTACGAGGCTCGAGAAGCCACCAAATCTGGTGGCAAGATGACCCAAGAACAGGTTGGTCTTCTTAATTAACCACACACTGAGTTTTGAATTATATAACCAAATTAATACTATTAACTTCTTCTTTTTTTTATATACAAAACGTTAACATGTAAAGCTTGGGCGAATCACTCTGAGTTCTAAACATGGATAAGAAAATCAAGCTTATGAAAAATATTGAATTATCAAAATATTGAATTATCAATATTATGTTTGATGATATTCGTAATGATATGCAGTATGGGGCATTGAGGAGAAAAATCGGAGGGACATACAAGGACTTCTTTAAATCCTATGTTGAAGGTAAAATCTTGACAAAAAATGATGATTTTATTTGTTATAAGCTATTTGAATTCATTGTGAATTATTGTTTTATAAATATGTTATAGTGGATGGGAAATATGTGGAGGAAGGATGGGTGGACAAAACATGTAAGATATGCAAAAAGGACACAAAGGGTGAGGCAAGACAAGTGGACAAGTTAGGGAGATATGCTCATGTCTCTTGTCTTCAAAATCCTCCCTCTGGAAATTTCTTCACCAGGCTCTTCTCTAGATGATGATCAATTTCCCAAATCATATGAATGTGTTTGCTTGTAACTAAATTATTCTTGCAATTTTGTGTGTGTTTTATAGAAATCGAAATTCGTTTTACATACCAGAAAACAAACATCACGTTTATTGGGATCTTGTTAAACAAAGAGACAGGAGATGATGTCTACATTTTCTAAAGATATTACAGCCTAAACACAATAATGAAGGACAATTTTTGTGTTAGAAGTGTCAAGTGTGTAACAGTTTCGCGGTCGTCTTGAATTGTTTGCTCCTCTGAAACTACGACCATGTCGTCTGCAACGTTATGTTTGTGAGGCAATTAAGTGTTAATCGGTGTATGCTTATGGAACTAGCAAGCTCTTAAAGACTATCAGTGATAAATTTATTAAATTGTTCCATATATATATTATTTCTTTATTTTTTCACAAACCCACTTCATTTATCAGTACTTATTTACTTTTTTTTTTTTGTCAAACATCAGTACTTATTTACTGTACATGCATTTTTAATAAAGCGGTTGATATATACTTGACCATTAACATACGTAATCCAGTAGGTTGTGCTTTATTTAGTGATGAAAATCATTGTATATATATCCCCTAACACATTGTATATATGTTGATCTGATTAGTTTGTAAGAAACAAATAAGTAAATCTGATTAGTTTTGGTCATTTGTGATGGACCAGAGCAAATTAAGCTTATTTAATTTGGACTTTAAATTTATGGGAAGTAAAGTGATTCGAAAAAATGCAATCAAAAAGCGATATCAGGTAAAAATAATTCTCTTGCAAACATCAAACACACAAACAAAACTTTAAGTCTAATAAGTCTAATAAAGGCTTTTACACATACGCATGAGAGATACAACACTCAAAACTACATTTCACTATTAGTCTTCGATCACAACTAGTAGACCATCTTTCTTAATTCGTACACGCGACTCAAACATCAGTTGAAAACTCACGAGCTCTCAACTTTACACCTTCATCGATCCTCCTCTAAGTCCTCTTTGATCCTCATCTCTACTATATATAATCCAGGATTTTATGTTTATACATAGTGGTAAATTAGACTCGTACAATAGTACAATAGGCGTTTATTATATAGATTTGTCTCAGCACTATGAAGACATTTTCAAGATTTAGGTTTACATATGGTGAATTAATTATTGAATCATAAGGAACGTTTCCACTCTCATTTTGGTAAATATTAAACACTTCTTTGTTACTCTTGCATGATTCTGAAAAACTATCTAGAGCAAAAAAAAAAGGAGACTCAAAAGGTCAAGAAAGGAATTGCAAAGGCAAAACAAAAAGATACTAGACAAAATACAATGTTAAGCTGTTCAGCAGGCCCGTGGCTATGTGGGTTAAAAGGAAACATTCGCTTATGGCCCATTATTTTAGAAAAAAATTTAAGGCCCTAATTTTTCTTATGTTTATTAATAATATTAGGCCCAAATAGTACTTGAACAAAAAAAAATGAGAGTCACGATGGCTGGTTTTTAAGAAAAGGAATTAAAATTTATATTGTAAATTAAATTAGAAACAAAAATTAAAATAAATTAGGGCAACTAAAAGAGAACCTTTCACATTTTTCTCACGTCTTTTTGCCTGGCGGCTGCCACTTCTCACGTCTCAATTTTTTTTTTTTCTTTATTGGTTGCCATCAACAATCACAAGTAAGTTTCTTTAGTATTATAGTTTTCTTCTTGATAAATTTTAGAGAGGGATTTCAATATTTTAAATTAGATTTGGGATTTGGTTTGGTCGTTCACTTGTTTGGATTAGCCGAGGTAAAGTCCGTAAGAAACGTAATACGTAATGTTTATAAAATTATAATTGAGACTTGTAGATTATAGTGCTTTTATGGTTAAACGTTTATCAAATTGAAGCATAACATGAATTTTCTAGTAATAAGTAACAATTATAATTGAGACTTGTAGATTATAGTGCTTTTTTTTTTTTTGAATTAAGGCCTTTTTTTAAACACCGCTTCTGGTCCTTACAACCCAAGGCACGGCTCTGCTGTTCAGCCTCAGAAGCATCATGCATGAAGATGTCAGTACACCGATCCGAGAAACGTATCAGACTAAGCTTAACACTTGAGTGAAGTAACTGGAATTGGATAGCGCGATTTGTGGAAACACAACCGCCTATTATGCTCACTAATACTCCATCGTATTGAAACATCAACTAAACTACATTGGATCAACTAGACCACATACATATAGCTAGCAAAATGAAATCATTTCAAAAATCTTCATAATCACCATTTTCCATTAGATATAAAATTATTTCAATGAGGTTTGGTTTTCCACTTAGGATTAAGTGAGAGCAAATAATATTATCTACTTATCTTTCTCTTCCTTATTTTTCAGTAATGTATTTTCCCTTATCTTTTAGAAACAGAAAAAAAAACAAGAAAGCTTATAGAAAAATCTTATAGACTAGAATATAAGTAAACAGACAATTTATTCGAGAATAAGGTAGCACCAAAAACAAAACAAAAAAAAAAAGAGAATAAAATCATTCATATCGGGCTCATCTTCACCGTCAATCTTACCATTTATCTCCACTCAAAAAAACCTTCCTTGAACCACTCCGTCAGTTAAGCAATGAGGAACAGGAAGCATCTCAAGCGGTGGAATCCCAATACTTTGGTTAGCAAACGGATGGCTCAGCAGCTCCTCTGCGGTGGCTCTATCCTCCCAATCACGCACTTTGCATTTCCTCACAAAGTCCCAAGCCATCGGTGATAGCGTCGCTGACAAGTAATCATTTCTTCCTCCTACATTAGCCCCCAACATCTCAATTACCATAACACCTAAAGACCAAATATCAACCGCAGAAGAAATAATTCGACGTGGCCCGACCGCCTCTGGAGCCAAATACTCCGGATTTCCCTGGAACAGAGACCCATCCAATGGATTAGGTCCATTAGGCTCCTTGGCTAAACCGAAATCAGCAAGTTTGAGTTCACAAAGCTCTCCATGAGTGTAGGTCGGGAAGATAAGTATGTTCTCTGGCATGAGATCACAGTGGACGTAACCATCTTTGTGAAGATCCTTGAGTCCTTCAAGAATCAAGAGAGTGCAGTACCCGACCACGTTCTCCGGTAATCTCCCACCGGCTTTGGTCATCATGTCTTCAAGTGAACCATGTGGTGCGATTTCCATGTAAATAGAGCAGATCTTGACATTTACCGGCATGGTTTCGTAATAGATGATAGGGCTTGTGGGTCTTACGATGTTGAAATTGATGGAGTTGAAGTGATGTAAGATCCTAAGTTCTTTCTCGAGATCATCTGAGTATTTGCGGTAAGATGTTTTCTTAGCCATGAGTAGACCATCGGGGGTTTTCACGAGAGAGATGTAGCCATGGTGGCCTTGGCCGAGACAGCCAAGTTTTGGTAAGGTGGTCGCGTCTAACATCCACGAACTCGACGACATGGAGAAGTTACAAAATTTAGGGTTGATGTTTTGTTTTGTCTTTTTGTTGAGAGATTGTGAAGATTACTTCTTTCGTCGTCTGTATATAATAGACAGTAATTGGTATGTAATTAAGTTGAGTTTGACTTATCAAGAAAAGCTGGCGTCAGAATCTACATATAAGTAAAAAGTAAATTTTATGTTTAATTGGAATAGGGATAACTATGAAAAAAAAGGAAAACGATATGGGGTGGATAATTTTTGAATAGAATAAAATATCTTTTTAAAACATAATCCATATTTAACATATATAATAAATAAAAATATTTAATTTTCTTTTTTCAGTGAAATACAGAGAATATAATTAGGATTTTGGAAAAGAAAAATTATGCTCTCAAATGAATATTAAATCATACCTTAAAAAACATGTTTCTATATTTTACGTAAAACGTTTATATGTTTTACGTAATTTGATATATGTTGCGATATATATTACGTAAAAATGTTTCTATATTTTACGTAATTTGATATATCTTGCACTCGGAAATAATAGATTATTTAAAAAGAAAAACAGAAAGGTTTGTATTTGTGATGTAAGTAAGACAAGAAACAAAATGTGTAATATTACATTTAATTGTTGTTATTTATTAAAAGACTTTATGGTCTACAAAAGTAAAACCATCCTTCGTAATGTTTTTGTTATATTAGCTAATAGCTACTTTGAAAGAGAGATAGTTAAATTCGGTATTTCTTCATGAGAACATACATTGTTGTTATTCTTATCCTCTTTCTAGCATCCGTTGCAGGTAGCTTTGAAGCTACATGGTAGTACAACTCAGTGGCAAATACCTCTCCTGAAATTCCCTGGATTTCATAACTTGGCATCTTACTTACTTCTACTCCAGTCTCCAGTACGTCGTTTGTAGATGCAACATATTTATGTGCCAATCCGATGTTCCATTTGAGAATGAAACATCTTGTCCTCGAGACTCGAGTATCACTTCATTGGAATCTAATAATTTCAAAAACACTTCGAGTTGTCTTTCATCTAATTAAAGACCAACTCGTTGATGCCTTGACAAATCCACTGGCTCGTGAACCTTTTTCAAACATTTTTCCAAGAGTGGAGTAAGTCCAATCTTGAGGGGTTATGTAAAGGAAAAATGTTAATTATATATATGTAAAAGTATTGTGTACCTGTAGATAGAACTTTTTTTCCTAGTCTCTGATGTATAATTATGTTCTCTCAAAAGTAATACAATTATCGTTCACCACTAATTCCATATATATGGCACACTTTACAGCCTGCTCTCGAGTCTGTACTCTTAACATAAATCAACTTGGTTTTAGCCCAGCATCCCAAATTAAGCAATGGCTTGTATATATGTTCGATGCAAGATATCATTTAGCTACTTAGGCTTTGTCTTCATATTATTATTATTATTATTTTGTGTGCTAAGAATGTAAATATTCATTGAAACTGAAAATGTTTAGGTATTACATATGGTCTAACCTATATAATTGGTCTCACGGCAAACAAAGATTAAAAACATGGAATTTAAGAATTTGTTTTTGCTTCCATATTTTCATAGTTGTGATCGTCTTTCCTCCTAGGGGGTCGCTAGAGAACGAA